CTTCCACACAGGCCTGGGAATGGGCCGGCCCGGGCCGGCCCGCCAGCCCATTTTTCTCGGCCCGGCCCGACCCGGCCCGGGCCGGCCCGCAGCCAATTTTTCGGCCCGCGGCCCGGGCCGGCCCGACATTTTGGGTACATTTTTACCAAACCAGTATATGCCATCATTTAATTTTTCCGGAGCCACAAAAACGTGTTAGATCAAGTCCGTTAAAGGTCTATAGGCTTGCACAACCGATTTAGGTATAGTATGTAACGAGAATTTAATCATAAAGCAGCATACAACCAGTACTTCTTTAGTTCAATAGAAAAAAGTCTGTTTTACTTAGTGGAGTTCAATTTCTTTGACCCCCACGTGTAGTTTGAACGTTAATACACTTAAATAAGGCTAACAAGGCATATTCCCAGCATTTCTGAACACTTCCGGCCAAAAAAAGCAAAAAGCAAAAGATTGACCTCGGCCGGGATCGAACCCGGGTCGTTTTCCTGATAAATCAAAGTTAAGCCAAAACTCGGATTTTTTTACTTTTAACTGTTTAAACAGATGATTGAAGTTGAATATCAATAAGGAAAACTTATAATGTAATTAAATTACCTCATTTAAACTCAATATAACTTATTGGCAAGGTGGCGGGCCGGCCCGGGCCGGCCCGCCAGCCTAAAATCGCGAAAATCTCGGCCCGGGCCGGCCCGGGCCGGCCCGCCAAATTCCCAGGCCTGCTTCCACACCACTAAAAATTCCAAAAGTTAGTGAAGGAGGAAACTCTTGCTATCTGAAAAATTACTATTATCCCTATTCTCATATCACAACTGGATGACGATCGCCAAAATGATCGTGTCATCACCGAATTCCTAGCTAAATTTATGTAGAAAAAGCATAATTCTTGCCCTCCAAGGCTAATCTTGGACAAATTCCAAATTTCAATTTTATAGAGATTTATCGTAACATCTCGCGGAAGTATGTGATATTCTATTGGGCTTGCTTATTAAAAACTGATGTTTTACTTACTGGCATACATCAACCTCGATAGAATATTGCAATCGAATCTCCCTGTTTTATTCACTGTTACGTTTCTATACCAGAGGCGCCTATTTTACCTCCAAAAATTTCGGAAAAGACCGGTCAAGCCCACCCACCGGTGAGCACATGAATTTCGAGGCGCGGGCAGCTGGAAATAGAGGGCGACACCCTGAAACCCAAGCCGACCCCGCGGGGGGATCCGATCCGATCGTTTGGCCCCTCTCCTGCCCCCCGACAAATGCCCATTTCCTGGGAGTGCACCTGGCATGAGACGGCGCTTAGCCAAATTATCCGGCCGAACCGGAAGCTAGGGGTCGTGCCGTGAAAACGAGCCTTAAATAATTTTGGACAATTTTAGCCGCGCTTACCTACTTTTAAGTACAAAAATCTATTTTAATTAGATCTTTTAGACGCGGAAATCTAGTGTTTTCGAAATGACTGATCGAGTAGCAAAAACGAAGGAATCCCGAAAATTCGTAAGGTCGAACAATACTCCTGCGAAGAAACATATTTTTTAAAGTCTGCTCGGTCTTCTACTGTAAGACCATCCTTCTGACGGTACTGGACTGTTAGCGGGGGGGGGATTTGGTTTGTTTTTCCTCTACTTACCTGTTAATAAGAAATAGTGTATCTTCATAATGTTTTCGGAGTTTTTGATCCCGAGAAAGTTACAAAACTATTTAAACGTTCGAAAATTTTGGCATTTTTCGATCATTTTCATACATTTTCGACGCAAAAGCCCAAAATTTTCGAATTTTCATAGGTTTTTAGCAGCTTTTATATCTAAAAAAGTTTATAACGGGCTATAAAAATGGGCTAAATTTTGTTATAGGACCGTGCAAGACCACTGGGAAAAATTAGTTTTACCCCCCTGCTAACGCTCCAGTACCCTTCTGGCCTACCCGTCGGGTCAAAGCCTATGCCCCGCAAAAAAACGCGTGCTAAACTGCCACAAAGTCACAAACCCTGGCCCCCATTTTTCGGGCCATTCCCCCCGGGTTGGAATCGTATTCATCGACGTGTTAGTGGACGGGGACAGGGGATGCATATTTGGATGGATGAGCACATCGGCCTACCCATACAACAATCGTCTATCAAAGGGCCCACAACAGCCCCCCGTGGCCACCGTTTCCAAACAAATATCGGTGGCACGAGGCGGGTCATATCAGGGGGGCTGACCCGAAAATAGGAAGTCCTTCTAAACGGTTTTTTCCCATTCCTAAACGTTAAAACTTTACAAATTTTTTTGAAACACCATCCAAGCATCGATTTCTCAACCAAAAATGGTCATTTTCAGCAAAATCTCGGCTTTTTAACAATTATTAGATGGTTTTTCTAGTCAAAATATAGCCATATTTTAGCGAATACGCTATTATGAACTTTTTAGGGGTTTTCGCCTTCGAAATTATAGAAGCGCATCAGAAACTGCTTAAAACTGTCTAAAACGCCATGTATCTGAGCAAAAGTTGATGAAAATGGGAGGAAACCGTGTAATTCCTTGTTTCTACCGATGGTTTTCCACAATGCTTACGCCTTGAAACTATTCAAAAAGATATGAACATTCACTCGGCGGAAACGTTTCATAGCCTAAATATCTAAGCTTGCTGCTAAACCGTTTTTTACTATTCCAAAACCCAAAAACTTTGCTATTTTTTTTCCAGAAAAAGCATAAATCTCGGTTTTTCGACAAAAAATTTCAAAATTTAAACCATTTTCAAGCGTCGTATAGTGTTTTTTCGACCCGAACAATAGGTGAATTTTACTCAAACAAGACACTGCGTAAAACATTATAAAAGTACATGATTTTTAGGAAGTAGGTATAGACGAAAATAGACAAATTTAGTTCCCCCCTGCTAACAGTCCAGTACCGTACATTCCACATCCGCTTTCACCAATCAGAGCCCCGAAAAAAGACGCACCCAACGAGCCCGTCAAGATGATTATGTAACCCGAATCTGCGGCCCATCCGCCCCGGGGCCCTGTTTGAGAGCACGCGCCCCCATGGGAGGGATGATCTCAATCCATCCTCACCCATAAATCTGTGTCCACCCCCCAAGGGCCGAGCGGATATCAGATCGGATACGCACACATGCACCACTTACCCCCGGCCCGATACCCACCCATCCACCATGATACGACCAGAAAGGAACACCCAAAAAGGGATCGGCATGCAAAAAAATGGTGGGACCGGAAAGAAACACCTGGATTTTTCCTAAAAATCCTCCTCCTGCTCTTTTTCCATAAGTCTACACATGTCTAGTAACTCACGAGATGGTTTAATAGTGTTTTTAGTATAATAAAACTGTACTTCAACTAAAGCCTATCTAAAAACCTTGGAAAAGCTTTCAAAAGTCAAAGTTTTGGTCAAAAATCTGGCCAATTTTGGCCGAAAAATCGATATTTTAGGCTAGTAGCTTAACAAGAAGTCTTTTAAGAGTGTTTTTGGTACAATACAATTATATTTCATATAGAAAACTATCTAAAAACGCTTGGAAAGTCGAAATTTGCGTCAAAAATCCGCACGTTTAGATGGAAAATTCGATAGTTTTGGCATTTTTTTCATAAAATTTTACGCCAGGTTCCAAAAAAGCTAAACGACCTGATTCCGATTAGGCGGAAAAGTTTATCTTCGAGAAAACAGAAAAAAAAAGATTTTTAGAAAACAACAAAATTTCAAAAAAAATTCCGATGGACTACTAAACCCCCACCATCCGATTGCGTTTAATCTTGTGAACCATATACCGTATCCACGTCCAAAGGTGTTCTTCGGAATCGCCATCGGTGGCCTTTTTTGAGCCCAAGAAAGTTTTCTCCAATTTTATGCCACTTTTGATTCTTGATTTGCCGTATTTCCGGATCGCGGGCCCCATTTCTAACCTTTTTTTTTTTGAAAATTCTAGACTCTTTTGAAGTTTGGGAATGGTGAACATCAGCAAAGTTGATTTTTCGTTGAAGCCGTGCTGCGGCTTTTCAATTTTAGTTTTTGTTAGCCCCTATTCACTAATTCGGCATTTCTTGATCTTCTGTGGGACTGATCCACTAACCATTTACTTCGATCGCATGTCCGGTTTTTTCACAACTTTCACTGTTCTCTAATGCACCACCCTTGCACTCACCCACTCTTTAGATCCGTACTTGGCTATGAACCGGACTCCATCGGCTCGCGGCCCTCGCCGCATCTCTTCCGCGTCGACGGCGAAGCGGATGTTGGAAGGGACCGAAAAGAAGGAAAACGGCATCAAGCGCTTCTTCAGCAGGCTATCGATGGGTGGATCCAGTTGGTTTTTTTGTTTATTTGGATGCTTGCACGATATTCTCCTAACCTCACCTGCATGTGACCGCTGCAACACCGGCTTTTCCTTTCACCAGGCGTCGTTTTGGGGCATCTTTGCGGTTATTTGTGCTCACCCGATGTAGTTTGAATTTTCGAGCAATCCCCGATCTTTTTAAACCCTGCCGAACAATAATAGTCTTCGCTAACGATGTGTAATGCTTTTACCTCTAAAATATTAATGTAACTCCCTCGGCCTCTCTGATCCCATCAGTCGATCAATCTTTTGTTCGTGACCTCGGGGCTGTAACGGTGCCATTGGATCAGCTGGCCTAGTTGGGCATAATTCTCGCCCATGTCCATTCGTCCCCAGCATTAGTAACCCCAGAATCAAAGCGATGTCCTTCCACCTCTATTTTCAAGACGCGCTACAAACGCTTTTCTATTGGAACCTGGAGCGTATGTCTTCGCGGCTTTTTGTTTCATGAGTGATTGCCCTTTGGCAAATAGGGCCCGGTTATTTCCGCGGTTTTATGCCGTGTTGATTCATGTCCTTCCGGCCCTTTGATGCCGTTTCAACTATCTCTTTATTTGAAGCCTCAGCCTAAGGGAAGAAGCATGCACCTTCTCGCCAGTCTGCTTTTATTCTTGACGATCCTCTGCTGGCGAATTCTTTGCAGACTATTACTTTTCATTGATAGCTTGTTTGATGCTTGTAAGTAGTAGTAGTAGTAGTAGGAATATGTATGAGGGAAGCTAAATTACGAAAACCGAAACTACTGTATATATTTATTCTTTTCAGTGCGCCTGCGCAAGGATCGGGCCCTGAAGAAGGATGCGCTCGAGGCCGGCTTCGAGGGATCATCGGCCCCACGAATGTCCCGCGTCTTCCCGAAACCATCTTCCGGCAGCGGCATCTCGGAATTCGACCCGAGGGACTTCTTGGAGACGTCCGGAATTTCGGTGAGGATTTTCCAATTGTTTCTGGTTGCCTAGAAAACCCTCGAGTCAGTTTATGATAGAAAAGCTTGGGAGTCTTCCACTTTCTTTATCCCCTCAAGGAGACGGGGCACTTGTCGTGAATAGATTAGTGCTAAGTGCGCCTTAAACGAGAAATTTTTTAAGTGGAAAGGCTTCTTCCAAGCTTTTTGGCAGTTTTTGTAGTTGTTTTCAGCTTGGTTTAGCTTTACGGTCCCCTCCCAAAAACCAATTTTTCGCGTCGAAACCGATGAACAAATGTTCCAATCGTCTTTAGCACCGAGAATTCATTGGGGTGAAAAACTTACGCCTGAAAGGCAACTTTTAATTTTCGCCTTTATTTTTTTTTTCAGGGTTCGATGATCGAATACAGCACACCGCCGGCCGGCCGAGGCGCCATACACCGCGACTACTCGATGACTGTCTCAGAGCGTAGACCGAAGTTCCGCCCGTCTCTGTCCGGCCACGACCTGCAAGCCATGGGTGAGAAATTTGGCTTACTAGGGAGAGGCAGATCAACTAGCCATGCACTGAAGTCGGGCTCAAAATGGGAATGAATATAGCGCAGTCTTTTTTTATTTGAAAATGTTGTGTGTGCGGGATTACAAGCTCAACGCTATAACTTTTGAGATTTGGCATTTGGACGTTTTCCACCACTTTAGCTTCTATCTCTTGGTCAAAACGAGAATGGTCGGCATTCGATCTCCGTCTCAATTTTGAGCACAATCTGATTAGGCCCAGTTAGGTAACTGTTTTTGATCAGCTTCACGACTTTTGGCCAGCGTGTTGCTTTATCAAAATCAGCCCTCTTCTGGCGAACCGGTAGACTTATAGGCGTCGCTCGGGATCGGCGCGGCGCGCCTGTCCATCGAGCCCTATGTAAACAGTTCAACTTCTTCCCCTCCCGTCCCCTCGGCCCCGTTCCCTTTTACGGACTTTTACGGGCCCTCGATATTGCTATTGACTCTTGCGGGCGGTATACGTTTCCGTCCTGGTCGTTTGAGAGTGCCCGGTTTTTATAGATACTTTTTGCACTAGAGCCAAATCGTTTGCGCATGGCAGTGATTGCGGGCTTCTTCCTTTTCGCTTTCGATTATGGTCGACTAGAGATGTGCGCTAGCCTTTAGCTACTCGGAAAAAAAATTGCTTTGCGTAGTGTTTTACGGGGGTTATGATGGCACGAAAGTCATAAAAACCCTTTTCGAAATTTGTAGGATGTTTTGAGAACTTTCTATTTATTTTTATGGAGAACTATTGGCTTTCTTTAGCAGCCCAGCACTAATTTGGAGAATTTAGAGTGGTACCCCGCCCTATTTAATCAAGTAGCCCGGAAGCTTTTGACAAGCGCGCTTTTTTACTATTGAGCCTCTCCTACAATCTGAAACCATTATCTTGAGGCGAATGACAGGAATTGCACACGGGCTTCACACCGGAAAGCCTCTTTTTTTCCACGATATGCTGGCTGCAATGCATAATCGGCGCCGGAAATCTTTTGTGCTAGCCGCAGCAGCATGCGCGCAGCCTGTTTAGGGGGTGCTCGGCTCGCGCCGCCGTGCGAATTAGCGGCCCCCGGCCTACGCTGCGCGACACAATCCCCCGTTTTTGGATGGAAATTGCTTTCGAAGTGTGCCCATTCGCCCTAGTCGATTTTCCAACGTATTACTTCTTCGAGTTTTAATTTTTCGGTCGTCTAGGAAGTGCTCTTTCCATCTTTGAATTGGCCACTAGCTTTTAGAACTAGTTGAGTCTGTAATTGCTACGAATGTAATCTTTGCTTTGTTTAATGATAGGAGAATCTATTAAAAGTTTTCTTTGGCCTCGCGTCTTTTTTCACCCTTTGTTTTTATCTATACCGTAACTTAACACTTTTAATCGATTAGATAGGAGCGGGCAACAGTACGGGCGATTTTCGGGGGTAGATAAGGAATGGGCATGCAAGAATTTACCCAGTTGGGCCCTTATAGAACTTTAACTACTTGGAAAATGATTTCCGGAATTGACGTTGATAACCATTCGCACTTCTTTCAGGTCCTACTCACCAATATTCGACTACTTACTCGAAGCCACGACCCATAGAAGACCTGCGTGGCGCCTACAAGAGCCAGCCCGAGATGCAGCTCGACTTTGGAACACCGACGAAGGAGGGAAACATCACACCGACACAGTTCAGGTATTAATTGTTGTGCGAATTTCGGTGTGGCTCGGTTCGGAATCGGGTATGGCGCTGATTTGCCGCCGTAAATCACTGTGCTCCTCCCCTGTAGTCTTTTCTCTGGTTTTCTGATTATTTACAGCGCTTGCTACTACTTGGTTCTTTCGCTATATCTGGGCTACCACATATTTTTGCGTAGGATTAAATCTTTCTATATATTTAAAGCAAGTTTGTGCTTTTTTTTGTTACTGTGAAACGTAAGCCCTACAAATTTTTGGGCAAAATGCGAAAAAAATACGTTCGTCGCTCAAAATTCCAAAAAATGAATAATTTAGACTTCTAAAACTATTTTTCTTTTGAAATATAGCTTCGTTTTACTAAAGGCACTATTAAATTACTTGTTATCGTGTTACTAGAAAAATCTTAAGTTATGTGAAAGATTCCCCCCTCCTACCCAACTAACCATTTTTATCAGCCGCTTTCTGCATGTCTCTTTCGCATCTTTCTGCCTCTCCCTCGACGAGCGTCGAATCCAATTATTGGCGCGTAGGGATCGTGGTGAGGGTGCATCTCTCTCCCTCGTATGGGCCCCATCCCTGGGACCCAAGGCCTCCCCTTCTCCTCCTCCTCCTTGAACATTTGGGGCCAACCTCGCGGCTACCACCCACCAGCCCCACACTTGTCTATTCACACCCCGGCTGCCGTATGCCTGCAGAAAAACCATTGACATTTCCTTGGATCGGGGGTGCGCCAGCTGTCATATACTTTTGCACAAATTAAACCGGCCCGACGACGGCCAGGGCCCCCACCCACATCCGTCATTTCGGACTTCCGGCGGGGTATTGAGCAATGTATCGCATTTTGTTGTTGCTTTACTAGTGCCAGGGGTAGAAATAAGCCTTTCACCTTGGGATCCAATTTTTCTAATAGAAGTGGTGGTGTTTTATGCGGTTTTTCACTATATCTAAACGTAAAACTCGAACTTTTAATGGAAATATATAGGTTTTTATCAACACTTCTAAATTTAAATATTTCATGGCAATTATAACTCCTTTTTCTACTTGAAATGTAGCTAATTTATGAAAAAAACTATCAATCTTTTTTCGAACCGTTATTCATCGCTGTCTACATTTTATGATCTTGGCCGCCTTTCATTCATTAGTTTAGTTCGAGAGAATTGATAATTTTTGCTACATCGAACTCGTCCCTTTTTTATTTGCCTAATTCGCGTTGGCTATCCTCGGCCTCCTGCTTGATATCCCCAATTCCCCGACCCACCCGGCTGCCACTAGCCTCCCCACTCGGCAGATTTGCATATGAATTGGAAATTTATAGGGCATGTCGTGTTGCCGGCGGCGACTAACACTATATTCCAAAAGGCGCTCATGATTCGTATTACACGAATCTTCGAGATTTCCCCATTTCTACCCTTGTAAGATTCCCTCCTGTCAGCTGCGGCCGAACCCCCTTAAATGGGAAGCACTAATCCACGATGGGCTTAGGGCCCAACGCTTGGCCCCTCCTATTCAAAATCAAGGGGCGCCCCCGCGAGGAGGCTTATTAGAAACTTGGGCACGCCAGCTGCTGCTTACACGAAGCGATGAGTGGTCTCTGGTCAATTTTGGGGGTTTCTTGGGTCGGCAGTGTCGTTGCTTGTTTTTTTTGTTTTCGGTCCTACCAGGTTTCAAAAAAAACCAAACTAGTTTTCCGTCCGATTCATACAATCTTTGATACGGGACTATTAATGGGGGAATATATCTACGTTTTTAGTATTTGTTATTGTCTGAAAAGGCATACAACTTTAGAATTTTTAAATTTTTTATAATTTTGATCGAGTTTTGGCAATAAATCAAACTTTTTTTATCTAAAATCCCGTTACCATTCCAGTGACGACTCGTTAGCTTTTGCGCATCCCGGCCCTAGTCTTATCCGAATCGCCTGCCCCTGCCCTTCACGGCATCAATCTTCCGGGGCCCCCGAATCGACCTCCGATTCAGCGTGTCTTATGCGATGGATGTGGCTTGAAGCGCCCCATACTCTTTTCAGCAAGCTCCTACTTTTACTACTCTTTAGTGGGGCTTTTGATATTATAAGGAAATTTGTCACGTCATAATTTGACAAATGCCACGGAAAGCTCGAAGAACCTACCGATTTTTCGATGAAATTAGAGTTTTGCCATAGTTAAATTTCAGCGTAATGATTTTTGCAAAATAGGTTCGGCAAACGCTAGTAGATCCTTGTAACGGTCCTCGGTTTATTTTGGCTGGGGCGAAATCTCTCCGATCTCTTCGGATGTTAGCTATCTTTTTGCTAGGAGCACAAGACTCCCCCCTCCCCCCAAAAAAAAAAAAACTGCACGTCCGTTTTGAGTGGTGGCTCCCTTCACCCCTTGCTTTTGCAAACAAACGGCTACGCTAAATTGACAGGGGGACGTTTCTCGGAAGCGTTTTTTGTTTCGTTTCGTTCGGGCTCCCCGGTCTCAATTCAACGGGCGAGGCCCCCAGTTGCAGAGGAGAGCACGTTGTTTTGGTAGTGTCGTTTCTTCCCCCAAATTTTCATCCAGGGCTTCTATCGATTTCGCCGGGCGATCGTGGGGCATTCGTTTCTGGGGGTAGCAATGTCCGGGCTAAGTGGCCGCCAGGGTCATGGGCCCAATTTCTGCTACAGCCTTCCCATGCGACACTTTGGTGGATCTGCATATTCCGCATGTGGCTAATTGGGCCCATGTGTGAACGCGTATTTGCCCGCTCGCATTTCAATCTTCGTTTAATGGTCTTTGGCATTTGCAAAATTTTAGCTTTTTTATATTTGAAGTTCAAATTTTGAACCAAACACGTATTTTAGTTTTCCAAAATTTACGTAGTTCACGTGAAGCGACCAATTCTGAAGGTCAAGGTGTCGATACTTTTCGTGGTTTTAATATAGAATGTGTAAAGTTTTTATATTAGGAAATGGTTTTGCCGCGCTGTAATTAGTAAAGATCTAAATTTCGATTTTTAGCACTTTTTAATATAAAGCAAAATTCTAGGTAAATAAATGATCGATAGCCAAGTTTCTTCTCCCGGTTTCACGAGGGCCCCAACGATCCCCGGGGCGCGTCTCAGATTTCTCGCAGTTGCGCCACCACCATCCACCCTTCCTTGGCCCTTCGCAATTGGGCGGGTCACCAGTTGAAATTGGAATCACATTGCGGGTGCCTAGCCCCGAGATATTGCGTAGTTTCGAGGGTGGGGCTGGTGGCTCGCTAGCACAGTGTCACCTGGCTTTTATTGCAGCTCTGTTTTTTCCTAAATTATTTTGAAAAAATTTAGATTTGGGTTTCTAGGTGTCGTTTTTCCGCAAATATAAGCTCCCGTTTTACTGCGGTTATTTAAAAATAGAAGCTGCCTATTTTCTCCCAATTTTCGATATATCGGTCAACCGAAAGAATATAAGAATCCCTCTAAAAATCTACCTTCCGTGTTATTGAAAAAATGGAAACTCGCGTAATACAGTATTCCTAATTGTTGACCAAATTTGGCTTGTAGAATCCTCCCGCACCTTGTTTTTTCAATTTGCCATGCCTTCAAATCGATGGTGCTAGTACACTACGCCAGCCGGTGTGGTGCGCTGCGCCCCGTTTGAAGCGCCCCAGGCTTTTTCGGCGATCAAGCACTCTGGTGGATAATGTCGCGATGGTCCATATGCCGGGCCCTTTGTCCCTCCGAAGCGATATATACGCCGCAAAGACAACCGACACGACCTCTTCCCCAAATTGCCTTTCGATCCCTTCCTCTCGGCCTCTTCTTCTCTGCTCTGCCGGGCTCGGCCGTGCATTTCCAATGAGGGGTCTCCGGGCCGTCATTTAGGAGATGAATCATACCGGTTTCCGAATTGAGTCGGGGTATTTTTCGATTTTTCTTTCTGATCTTGTATCGCTGCCTAATTGTAAGCTTTTCTAAAGACGGTTTTCTCGCATTATCTCTTTTAAGCTGTTTTCCGAATTCTTTCGCCATGCCTCCCATTCTAGCCGATGAGTAATGCTGGCCAAAGCGAAACCCCGGCGCACCACCCGTGCACCCCTCATTCCACCTTCAAAGTCATGCGGCGAGGCTCTATTCGCCGTCTCCGATTCCGAATCCGAGCCAGAGCCCCGAAGGGCCCGGCGGTCAGAGTATAAGCGCGAGACCACGGTCCCTGACCTCCTGGTCCGGGCTTTCAATCTAAAGTGCGCCAATTTACTTGAGGGCCATCTAACTTTTCTATTTAGCCAGCGCCGCAGTGTCGCCAACATCAACAACCACAGGCAGATCACCACACTAGAGGCACATGGATCAAAGGTTGGATTGGGGGTTTTTTTGCCTTTCTCTGCAGATACCTTGGCTGTTTCAATGTGCCCGATCTAATCCGTAGACTTTCTAACGCTCAAGGTCGGCTTCTTTCGGAAATTCGGAAACTTTCTTGTTCCTTATGACTGAAATTTTCTAATTAATCCTGGAAATTTTTTCTACATTTTTCACTAATATTAATTGCGTAAAAAATTTATATTTTTTGGGAAAGATATACCAAAAATATCCATTTTTGTGCCAAGAATCGTCGATTTATGACCAAAATACCGAATTTTAAGTTATTTAATAATTTTTGGTCCTAATCTGGCTAAATTTTGTCGTGAAGACTGGAAATACTTGCTCTTGCATAATAGCTATATCTGGATTGGAACGTAGTGTCAATCTCGATTTTGGTAAATAATTTTTCACACCATTTTCTTCGGCTTATCCATCATTTTCCATGTCTGCCGGCTCATCCGGCAAATCCCTGCAGCTTAGCGCCCTGTACAGCCATCAAGCTCCTTCCTTCACTGCCCACTTCCACCCGCCTTCTTCCCACATTTATCTCCCCCCTCTGCCTAGTCGATTATTGATGAAGGCTGGACGGAAAATGAGCCATAGGCACTGGTTAGGCACCTCGCGGACCCCATTAACTCATCGCCCACCCATCCTTATTGCTTCTGCTTGGGGCGGGGGGCCGTTTGATGTTTTTGTGTTTCCAGTTTCCCCCTAGTGTCTCCTTCAGTAAGATCACTCTTTTGCCGTACGGCTCCCGCCACGGAGACCCACTCGGGAATGCCACTTTTTCGCCGAGTCGCCTGCCTGCCCTTCAGCCAGATGTAGAAAATTTTCTGCCCTCCTTGAGATTCCATGCGGTACCGAAGCCTACCTAAAGGGAATAAGAAATCCGGGAACAAGGGCTAGGCTATAGCAGATTTTCGGTGTTTATTTCTTATCGGGGGAGCAAGACAAAATTTCAAATCTGCTTATTAATTAGTTTATTAATATAAAATGTAGTTTTATCGCGTTTTTACTGGTTTCTGATTGTTAGAACCTGTTTTTGAGACACCTTAAAAATCTTAATTTTTCGACCCGCTTTTGAATGAGCCGGTTTATACATTTTTATTCAAAAAGCCTTTTATTCAAAGCCTTGTCTTCTCTCCTTGGCTAGTTGAATGTTTTTTGCACCCCCTTCACATTTTCCCGATCGCTCATTCGATCCGGGCTGTCGGATCTTGCTGGATTAGTGCCAATCCGAATTGACAGTTCTCCTTTCGCTTTTTCGGGGCTGTTTTTTTTACCTTTTGTATTTAATTTTCGAATCTTTTTGGTGAATGCCGCTGTTTCGGATTGTTAAGAGGAAAAAGGCGTATCTATTTTTGCATTGCGTAACTGGTTGGACTTTTGCAAATTTTAGTTGCGGTCTAATCTACCTCCTTCCTCCCATGTCCCTTTAAGAGTTCTTATCTGAAAACGCATCTTCATGCACCCCTTTTTACATCTGGGGTGTGGCGATTCCATGGTCATCTCCACCTCCGGTCAGCTCATTTTCAAACAAGAGACCCACTTCTGTCCACGCGAAGGGGGAGAGGCAGTGTGTCGTGATGAATTGGCGTCCTCCCCCCGCTACCCCATCCATACCCTCGAAATGGTACCCCCTGGAGCTATCTGCTCCCTCTTGCTTTCCCTCGCTCTCTCACCTCGCCGGCACACCACATGCGAACGGTTGTTTCGGTCGGATCATTGAGGGCGCGCACATGACCTTCCACCCACTCGCCCCTCATACTCCCTGCCACCCCGACGCCCACCAAAACTCACCGCATAATGCAAACACGCAATCGCTTTGTTGCTGCTGGTTAATTGGAGGTTTTAGGGTTTTTCTGTTTTCTTGATTTTCTTGGAGTTCATGGGTTTTTTTAATTTAACTTTTTAAATTATTTTGAATAGCTGTCTCCTATTTTCTTGACCCTGTCTTTTTTCCAAATCTATTTTTTTTTGATAAGCGTCCAGATCTGCCCTAGCCATTATCCAAATTCGGCCACTTGTCACTGTTAGGAGCCTTGATTTTGCTCTTTTCCGGTTGTCCATAGGATCCTTATATCTTCGCTGTCTGATTCCATTGAACTTGAAATTCTGAACAAGTTTCGTCTTTCCAATTTCCAAAAAATGTCGTTTTCCCAGCCATATTTTTTTATAACAGTCGCCGTGCCCACTATTCAAATTCGGCCACCGGCCCCGGCTTTCCATGTAATTCCCCACCGGGGCTGGCGCAACTCGCACGTTCGGATTCCTATAAGCAGAGTTGATTCCTGAAGTTTGGCCTAATTCTTGCTGCGCTTCCCGAGCTACCACCGCTGCCTGGGGTCAATTCACAGCTTGAAATTAGTGATACGGGTTCTAGTTGGTCCTATTTTGTTCTCATGGGATAGCGGATTTTAGATATGATCTTTTAGGTTGCTTTTTTCATATCCGCTCTGATCCAAAAGCCATCTCTTCCTCGCCGCTTTCGCTCATGCAATTTATGCTCTACCCACCCAGAGAGCCGGTACAATTTTGCCCTCGCGCTCGCGCCACTTTTCGATCGTTGTGATTGGCCGATCCGTGTGTGCCAATAGTCAAATCCAGGCGGGTGGGGGTGACCTTGAATAAAGTGGCTTGCACGCGGCGTGCTAAATGGGATTCTGCATACCCAACCTCTTTTTTTTGGTGCTCGATTCGTGGCGCTTGGGACATACTATAAATTTCTATTAAAAAGTACAAAAATATCGATTTTCGAACCTTTCAAGAACGATAATCCGCTAGAAATATATTTAAAATGACATAAAATTCCCGATAGCATTACTATGACGGGTTTGTCTTGGCCTCGTAAGACCCCCATAATGCCAAAGAACCAGGGGCTGCATACCCACCCCCCTTTTTTGCTGCTCGATCCGTGATGCTAGGGGTAGGCTGAATAAGGCGCGCGCAATTGTTTGTTTTGGCGTATGGCCCTCCGTCCCCATCACCCTCGTTCTCACCTTGCCAGGGCCATATTCTAGCCCCCGACGACTATAGATGGGCGGCTCTTCTCGCCAAATTTAGGGGATGAATCGCCGCCGGGCGAGAGTGTGGCGACTCGGTGGTTTTGGGGGAAAGCGGTTGATTCATCGCCCACTCAACATCCCCCTACGGCCTCCCGGACTATCAACCATCCTCGCTCAGCACCACCATCTGAGCTTTATTGTTTCAGCGCACTAGCCAGGTTGCACTAGCGGCGGTGATGCTTGCGCTAACGGGGCTGACCATATGCTAGATTCAGAATTTCTAAAGATATTATTCTTCTCTCTCTCTCTCTCTCTCTCTCCTCTCTCCAGTTTTGTAGATATATTTTTCCGGATCGAATTACGTCGGAGGGTTTGAGAAAACCAGGGTTCCATTTTTGATATATTTTCATCTCGCCGAAATCTTAAAATTTTCATTCTAAAGAATTTCCACTCGCCGAGAAATTGCCCAGAGCCTCCTGTTTTCTTCTGTGAATTTTCTAACTTTCAATATATTTTATGGCATACGCAGATCCTCCTAATTTAGCGAGCGACCACGATGTCTCCTCTATTTCCCCACTAGGCTTCTCAATTTGCTATCGATAGTACCCGAGAAGGCGTTCCCTAAGATTATTCCGACCCCCTCCGCTGTCGCACCCCCTAAATGGTGGCTTGTTGCTGCGGGATGGAGCGTGTTTTCTCGAAATTCGTGGAGACCTTCAATAAGAAGGCGTCCATTGAGCAGCCAAGGGTATGCAGTTGGAAGATGAGCTTTTTAAGAATTTGTTCTAAGATCTAAATACTGTTTTCAGACTCTTGCGACGCCAACGCGCCCGCACGACCATCGCCACTTGCAGCGGGAGACCATTTTGAAGCGAGTTTTGGATTTTTTTCTTGGCGCTGGGTTATTATCGGGGCCAAAAATAAACTTTTTGATATCACTTACGCAATTCTGGTAATCGTAGCTTATTTTTAGAATTTCGTTACATTTAATAAAAGAAGTGTATAAAATCAAGGCATTTGAAATTTGTGATTGTTCTTCATATTTGATACTATTTTAGTGAAGAGAGTCTCTATAATTTAATGCGTTCTCCTATGAAATTCTTTACATTTTCTAATCCTTTTTTCTTACGATTTGAATTTGCATGTTTTTCATGCATAGCCGCCCCTAAAATTCTTCGCTCTCACTTTTCATCCTTGGCGAAATCCATGTGGTGCCTCACAAATGTTTTGTTAGTCCGGGTATTTTTAATCAAATACCATTTTCAGTGGATACTCTGATCGGCGCCCATCGGCCACCACTGCTTCCGGATCGTCCGGAAGTGGACCGGGAAATGGCCGCGCCGTCGGCCCGCCAAACTACCACAGCTATGCCGAGCCGCAGCATCGCCACAACGACGTCCACTTCACCCGCGAGGTCTTGGGTAAGCTTTTGGGTGTTTTGGCTTTTTTATTGTTTTGTTTAGTGGACGCGCCCCCGAAGGTGGCCAACAACCTCGACAGCATAGAGCAGCGCCTGCGCAATCTCGAAATTGCCCAGACCAAGCATGGTAAGCCGAGTTTGCGTTTGCCCTATTAAAATGTTGGAAATATTGGAAAATGACCAAAAATTGAAACTTTTGGTATAACTTTATTTTCCTTTTTTTGCAGTGGTCGTCCCGGTCGAACCTAGCCCCTCAATGGGTATCCGTCGCTTCGACGCTGATGGCTCGGACAAGGACCAAGAAATCGCAGGCCTGAAGGTTAATTTCTTTTACCAATGCTGACTCTTTTGTTTTGTTTAGAAACAGCTGCGTCAGCTACACACGAAGCTCGAGTCGGAGCAGAAGCGCCACCAGGACAACATGAACGTGCAGCGCGACCAATACAACGTCACGATCAAGGAGGTCAAGCGCCTAAAGGATAGGTACGTAGCTATGGCCATAGCGAGGTTAAACTTTTTTTTTAGTCTGATGACGATGGAGGAAGAGCTGCTGAGCTACCGCGAGGTGGCCGCCATCTCCAACGACTACCAGGAGGTCGGCGCCATGCAGCAGAAGCTTCGAGATCTTGAACGGCTCAACATCGCCCAACGTCAAGATCTCCTCTCCGTCGAGTTGCAGGTACTTTTTTGTATTGAAATTTGGGCGAAAAAATGGCTCAGCTCTCCTTTGTGTTACTGGACACTAAAATATATGAATATGTTTGCCTTGATCAGTAGAGCAAAATATATTATAGAGGGGTAGAATACTTCAAAAGGGATGGTGTATTTGAGGTAGAAAATCGAATCTTTGTTTTTGTTTTCTGGATTATAATTCTTTCGTTTTAGCGCGACGACCTGCTGGGGCAGCTGGACTTCAAGGACAAGAAGCTAAAGGACCTCTCAAAGGAGCTCGAGACGCTGAAGGCCGAGGTATGGGCTTGTTTTATTTTTAACTGTCTTTTTTAGCACTCTTCATATGGCCAATCGTGCTCATCCGGCTCGACGCCGATAGTCGACGACCTGGAAGCGGCCACGATGGGCGGATCGGTGACGCTGACCGACGCGACACCGATCTGTGCCGGCGATATGAACGGACGCCGTGCCTACAAAAAGGTAGATTGCTTGTTTTATCGATTCGTGCTTTTCCTTCCACATTTTCCCCTTTGTTCATTTCGCAAAATTAGCAGTCGAGCAATGTTTTTTCTTAGGTTACTTTTTTATCAATTTTACTCATCGAAATACTATTTTACACTCTTTTTTTACCGTCCCTAAGCTTAGCAACCCAAAATTTCAGTATTTTTTGACCAAAAGAATTGGATAGAATCCCCGATAATGTTTTTTAGGATTAGATTTTTCACGTTTTATAGTCGTAGTTATATGGTACGTTAAATAGTTGGTTTAACGTTTTTCAAACTCTCTTTTCAGGCCCATTCCACGATGACACCGATTATGCGCGGCAGCAACGGCCACCTCTCCGGCTCCCCATACGGTGGCAGCACGGTGACCTCCATCGGACACGGCGCCCTTCGCAAGTCGCACTCCAACTACCAAATCGGCCAAGACACTCCGAAGGGAGAAGTGGCGCCTGTCATCTCCAGCCTTATCCGGTATATTTCCCTTTTGCTTTCATGAAATTATTTTTTTCTAGGTCGCAAACGAAGCACGTCCTCGAAGCTGTCATCCTCACCCGGGCATTGGCCGAAGTGGCCCACGAAGTCGAGAATGGCAACAACGCCAGCCTGTCCGACTTGATGCATCTGCAAGGTAGGCTGCACGCTTAAATTCTTAAATGCTTTTTTAGCTTCGGCCGTCGATTCGATGTCGGAGAGCGAAGCCGAAAATCTGGTCGCGGACTCGACGCCAATGACCATCGAAGAGGCCCAGCGCAAGGTAAACTTCTATGGTCCACTTTTAAGCTTCGTCTTTTGAGTTTGCCATTCGTTTTTTTGCGCACATATGAATCCCTTTAAATGTGTTTTTGCAGATGACAAAGCAGCAGCGCAAAATGGCCGAGCTAACGAAGGACCTCGACGACGTGTCGCGCACCATGCGCGAGATGTACACCCGTCGCCTCGAGGAGATGAAGGAGCGCGACGAATACAACATCTGCCGAGTGCAATAATGTGATATCGCTATTCTCGAATATGTACACACACGCGAGTTGTTGCTCCCCCCTTTTGCCTGTCTCCAATATTTTGTTTCTCTCGCCTTCTTTACACCCCTCGAACAAATACGAGTCCCCTCAGATGGTGCCTATTCGGTCTTTTGCTCTTTGTCCCATATACACCCCCGCATCAATATTATCCGCCTAACCGTTCTGATTTCTCTCATCTTCCTGCATTAACCGTCGTTCTGGTTTTATTTTCCACCCATCTCCATTTCTGCCTTCAATTCCGAAGCATGAATAAACGTCTTAACTGATCGGGAAAATTGCGAATAGCATGCTATCAATCCCGAGATCCAGAAGATCAACTTGTTCCCATACATCACGTTCGTACAGCTGCTTCGTAAGGCCACGTTGCAAACGCGCGAGTGAGCGCATCAGGCTCCGTCCCTTTATCCTTCGGCCGAAGAGCGCGATTTGGCGTCATTTTAACGCCTGCTGCGCTAGGGCGCGTAACAAGCGGCTAATTCTTAGGGCGGCGCCGAGGATGGGCTGACCGATTCGTAAGCCTACGGCGATAACGTCTTCAGCTCCGATAGGTTCTTTCGCGTTATCGCGGCGGCGAACTTTTTTTTGTGCTCTAGAAATGTCTAATGGCTTAGGAAAGCATTTCGATTGTGTTTTTGTAAAATATACCTAGATTTCAACCAGAAAACCATCTAACTAGGGAAGTCCAAGATACCCGCAACACGAATCGGGCTGAAAGTTTGCCCAGTTATAGAACCGACCATGCTGATCATCGCCTCGTTTTCCGAATTTGCTACCGAGCTTAAATAATTAAGATATTAAACTTTTAAAATGGGCCAAAAACCCGCTACCCTGACCCTGGCTCACTAGAACGGGTGGGGTTCAAGAGGCCTTTGGGAAGCCCCCTTTCCAGAGCTTTCGTAGTCAACTGGTAAGCGCCTCGCTTCCGAGGTGGAGGGTCCGGGTTCGGACCCGGCCCGCGTATTTTTCTTTTGCTTTTTGCTAATTTTGCGCCGCACATGTGGCGCGTGTCCAGATTGCGTTATGCACACGCATTTACGTACATCCTAGAAACGAAATTCAACGAAATCATAAATTTATGAAAAAAGTTCATAAAAACAACACTAGTAAAAAAATTGTTAAAAACCGGTATTCCGTAATTCGACGGCAGCAACCGGCTCATCTGCGTGTAGCAAAAAACACAATCTGAACAGGCGCCAGATGTGCGGCGCAAAATTAGCAAAAAGCAAAAGAAAGATGTGCGGGACGGGTCCGAACCCGCACCCTCCACCTCGGAAGCGAGGCGCTTACCAGTTGACTACGAAAGCTCTGGAAAGGGGGCTTCCCAAAGGCCTCTTGAACCCCACCCGTTCTAGTGAGCCAGGGTCAGGGTAGCGGGTTTTTGGCCCATTTTAAAAGTTTAATATCTTAATTATTTAAGCTCGGTAGCAAATTCGGAAAACGAGGCGATGATCAGCATGGTCGGTTCTATAACTGGGCAAATTTTCAGCCCGATTCGTGTTGCGGGTATCTTGGACTTCCCTAGTAAGCACTTTAAAACGTTTTTAGCAGGGCGAAATTTTGCTGAAAAATCGGCAAGTCGATATTTTTCCAGTTTTTTTAGTCAATTTTGTAAAGTTTTCACGTCTACAATAGTAAAAAACTATTGGGAAACCTCTCCATTATTTATTCTTGCACAATTAGATCCCAAAAAAATGCCCCTTTCCCCCGCTAATGCGGAAGAACCCTCCGATAATCCCCAATGCATCAAATGCATCTTTTTTTGCGCTGTAATCTATATATTTTATCAATTGCCTTATCCGCGGTATCCACAATCGCCAAACGAACAAAACGTTCCCATTCGAGACACCATCCGGGGCAACAGCAAAAAGTCTTGCACCTGGAAGCCCTGTTGTGGGAATGCTAAAGAAATACTCACCACATATCGGAGCATTCCGGTGCCGTCGAGGAAGGCGAACGTGTCTCCCTTCTTCTGCCCCTTCAGATCGAACGTCCAAAATGGTTTAGTTTGATTTACAGTGGAGTTAAATTCTCGTCTCATTCGCATTATCGGGGGGGACCGTACTTCTTCAATAAGTATAAAAATGGCTAGTAACCTAACTGGAACTATTTTATTAGTGTTTTTTTGCCAAATATAACTATTTTTCAGATAAAAACAAGCTGAAAAGTTTTTAAAACTGTGAAAAAGCGAAATTTTGGTCGAAAAATCTATATTTTAACTTTTTTTTACCGGCATTCTTAAATTTTTAAAGTTTAGAAATAGTAAAAAACCGTTTATAAACACTTCCGCCTTTTTAATTTGAAAAAATTAGACCCTAAGCAAAAAGTTGGTCCCCCGATAATGTGAAGGAACTAAATTCTCTTACCCTCATCCAGGTCGGCTTGGCCGCGCAACGCTCGTGCTCCATCATGAAGTTCTCCTGGTCGTTTTCGCCAGTGAGCATGAACCTGTTGAATAGGGTAGCAGCGGTTTATTAGGGTACCAGTGAGTTGCTTGTATACCTACCTGTACTTTGTCTCATTCGAAAACTGGAAGACGACCTCGACGGGCGCCTTGGCCGCATTGCGCACATTCATCTCGATCTTGCACCCGAACACCACCACCACCAGCAGCAACAGCGAGATGATACGCGCGTAGAGCGTCATGGCTTGTGCCAGCTAATCGAAAGGGAAAGCTCAGGAAGCGGAAGCGGAAGATTGGTCCAAGTAACTTTCAAAAGTTTGTTTTCGCATTATCGGGGCGGGGGGGGCTTTTTATAAAAGTCTCGTAATATCCATTAACTTAATAGCAAGTCTTTTAATAGTTTTTAGTAAAATAGAACTATACTTTTGTACCAGAAAACCATCTAAAAACGTTTTAACTTGCAAATAAAAAAATCTAAATTTTGCTCAAAAACTGTCATCTTTACGTTTAGGAACACCGCCACTATTTACATTTCAAACTTAGATGTTAAGAAAAAAAGTTGCCCCCCGATAATGCGAAAGAGCCCAAAAGTTGAATTCATCCCAGCCTGAAAACAGAAAAAGAAGACATTCGCCGAAAAGAAGGAAATAAGGCGTACTTCCAGAAACCTTGTAAAATTCGGCAGATCGAATGGGATAGCGGATTCGTGCGTATAAGATGTGGGTCAGCCCCACCTGATAAAAGCGTTCCGCCCGAATCCCCCTAAAAGGGAAACAAATGACCACTCAACCTCGACAGCTCAAAAGCTCATACCCACTCTTGCTCTCCCAAACACATGTCATACAAACTTTATTCATGTACAGTCCAAGCAAAAATGATTAATTCACACATTAGCCATGGGACCGACTAAAGCCAGACCGGTAAGCATCACATAAATACAGAATGGGCGGGTAAATGGCTGAATGGTCTCTTTCTGCTTTTATCGCGCCATATCCGGAATCTTTGGCAGCCCGAACTCGTCCACCTCGATCCCTTCCGCCGTCTAAAAAACATGTGCTCATCAATACAACCTTCAGCGCTTACCCGTGATGCACTCGGTTTGGCGGCAGGAACGGACGGCGCGTTCAGAGCCTCATCCAAATACGAGGCGTCCGTGTCGCCAAGGCCAATCTCATCTCCGAGCGCCTCCAACTCTGCCTCCAAGTCACATTCATCAATCTGAACAAAAGGACGTAGATGTCGAAATCAAAGATTTACAAAAGAAAGTTCAAAAAGATGGTTCTTTCGAATTATCGGGGGGGGGATTTTGTTCTTGGGATACAATTTTTAGAAATATAAATAGCAGGATGTTTCTGACCTGCTTTTCTACCATTCATAAACGTGAAAACTTCACGGATTTTTACTAAAAAATACAAAAAAAAGATTGATTTTTCGACCAAAAAATTACCGAAATTTAGTTGAAATTAGTTGTATTTTACAAATACTATTACATTTTAATTATGCTACTATACATTTCCAGAGTCATCCGAAAAGATTTTGGTCCCGCGGTAATGCGAAAGAACCAAAAAGATTGTAACTCACATCAGGCGTATCGTACTGTCGACTCATGGCCTCCTGGATCTCGTTGTTCATATCCAGCATATCCTCCATTTGATCTTGAAGGTCTTCAATCTTGCCAATATCCATTTTCTTGTGCTCCTTCTTGAACGCCTTGAGGCCGTCCTTCATCGCGGCGACCGTAATCTGCAAAAAAAAATATCATGTGGACAGGCAGGCCTGTACGAAAAAGCCAAACATAACATAACAGCGTTCAAAACCAGCTTTGCGGGTCTTTAACCCCGGTCTTTCGAAATTGAAGCCAGCGCAAGTGGCACCAACCTGCGTGTCTTTCATGCCCTGGATGGCGAAATTGCTCTGATCCATGTTGAAGACTTGTTGGTCGAGTTGCTCCTTTTGGTTCTCGTACATTCGCTTCTGCTTCAGTATCCGAAGCGCCTTCTGCTTGACCATGTTCTTGCTGGGTCCCTCTCGCATCTTGGCCATTTGATCGCGGAGTTTAACCTGAAAAAAACCATAAACATATGTATAATTTTAATCGCAGAGGCAACGCTTGCAATTTGCTTGCTTACCAATTCTCCATCCAACTTCTTGATCTTTTCTTCGATGCTGCCGCCGCGAGCTCCGACTTTTTCCATGGCCGCATTCAAGTCTGGCGGCGGCTCCTTCTTCGAGCTTCCAAAGATGCGCTTCATCCTTTCCTGAAATTTTATTATGAAGGCACGTTTTTATTTTTCCATAGACGAACGAGAGAATTCGATCAATTCAAATCAACAAAGCAAAAGGGCGAAAATCAACATCGATCTAGCCTAAAACTACTTCACTAAAACAATGGAAACAGAAACACGCAAATAACGAATCGACTCCTTCGCCAGAGTGTACAAAGAGAAAATAGATATTCCTTGCAATGTCCTCACCACAAGGCAGCAAGCCGAAAGAAAAATGGAAGAATTGCGAAATTATGCGGTCTGCTTTGCCCGTATTCCCTTGTACCCGTCGTCCTGATGCTGATAGCGCTTGAAGTAGTACCAGGTGCCGTTTTCCTTCTTTTGCTTCAAGAAATACATCGACATGTCGCTCTCCCAGTGCCTCGCAAATCGTTTGTAACCAGCGCGGTCAAACTCGGGGATCGTACGGTCCGGGAAGAGGCCAGCCCAATGTGCTTGCATCACACATCGCTCGAGTCGAAGTTGTTGGCTCTTGCAGATCCCGGTCAACTGGCGGGGCAGCACGGTACCGTCAGGGCGCATGAACTGCTCCAAGATGAGCACATCGGTGTAGGCGAGCTTCACGGGGAGTGAACATGTGCAGAGGGCGCACTGATCTTCTGGCTGACGGGCGGCGACCGGGTCCGGGGTCTCGACGGCTCGCACGGTGGTCGTGTCTCCGCTCGTCTCCTCCACTATTCGCCATTTGCCGGCTGCAGCGGTGGTCGTCAACTTTCGAGCGAGATGCCGAAGCGGCGGAAGGGCGGACCCGATTGAGGATAACATACCTAGAAAGCGATTTCATTAAGAGATAGAAGGCTTCAAAATAAGGTCCACGTAGAAATAAAGAGCGAATTCGTGTGAAAAAAAGTAAGGGTAATTAAGGAAACCAGTGGAAAAAGACCGCTTCGCGGCCCTTTTCCACTGGGCCCCGTCCAGGAACCATGAATTTGAATAGCTTCTTTTTAGCCTGCGGTGCAAGAACCTGAGTCAGACCATTCTTTGGCCTGCGCCGCTAGAGCCCGTGTTGCGCTGGAATCCTTGAGCCTGCGGCGCCAGCTACTGCTTTTTCTCCCGGATTTAGCCTGCGGCGCGAGAGCGTGTTTCAAGGATCTTTTCTTTGGCCTGCGGCGCTAGAGCCTGGGTAAAGGACCCATCCTTGGCCTGCGGCGCGAGATCCTGGGCCAAAAACCTTTTCTTGGGCCTGCGGCGCTAGAGCGAAGGTCAGGCCTAAATCGCGCACACGGAAAACCTAGAAATATGTTTTGTTGCTGAACGACCAAAAAGCAAAAAGCTAAATTTCTCGCGGATCCGAACCCTCGACCCTCAAAGCCGTAGCCCCGGCCTTGATCCACTACACCACAGGGGGAGGTTGGAACGGGCAGCGGTAAAGGCCTCTTCATATCCTGGGGGCGGAACCGCTAAAAGGAATGGGCTCCAGCACCTCCGACAGGCAGGCCTTCAGGCCACTTTACAAAATTCAACTTTTGAGGTGGAAGCTGGTCGAATTTTGTGAAAATAATAAGATGCGCGTGATCCTCGCCATTGAATGCATAAGTGGTCAAAAATACAGGTCCAAATTCGCCATGTGAATTGAGTTATGGCCTGGACACCACCGCCCGTGACACGATTTATTAAGGACCTTCCAGAAAAATCCTTATAAAAACTTTATTTTAAAAAGTTTTGCAAAATCCAAAAAAATATATCTGGGGAATTACTTTTCCCATCTACCTTCCAAAAGTGAGGCCTCAATTCCCTCTAGGCGCTGAGAATCCGGACAACGCGGCAAAAACCCATTTTGTTAAGGATTTTTCACTTTTTTGCTTATAAAATTGTTAAATGATGGTATTTCGTAAAACAAAAAAATGCATCACTGACAAATGTGTTTCTCCACCTCCATGCCAAAAATCAGCTCGAAATTCGGCCTGACGGCCGAGAAATCGGCTGTACAGAAAACAGACATACTTTTCTCGCTTATAGGATAGGATATATAAGGAAAGTATGGAACTTTGGCGAAGGCTGCTAAAAATAAAAAATGATTTCCGATGAACGAATCACAACTATTAACGTAATTCGTAATGGAAAAACGCTACGTACCTTCCAATAAACGCGAGGTTTTTGCGGATAATCGAACAAAAATGCCGCCTTGCGGTTTCTTCGCAAGAATTGTTGCTTTTTGCTGACTCATTGGCTTCTTATCGCCCCAAATTTCATAATCGTTATAAGAAAGGCCAGAAACAAGAATTTGCAGAAAGATGAGGGGATTGCGATGACTTTTGCTAAAGGCAGGGCGGCCAAAGCCTCCAATATAAATAATCCAATCTCGATTTGGCACGCTTACGCAACGAATTGGCCCCATTGGGACCCTTCCGCTGATTCACGGGGCCCTATCCAGAGGGTTGGCAAAACGCCCGCTTGTCTGCTCAGGGCACGCCTCGCGGGACCCCCCGGGTGCACTGGGTGCGTGAGACGCGATTGCGTATCTCGGACCCGTTTCAACAGGCGCGTTGCCAATTTTTTGGGCTGTCCGACCCCGAAACCCCCTAAAATAGGAAACTTACAGGAAATTAGACCCCGTAAACCTTCGCAAATGGATATCCTCTCATTCTGATGCCGTCGGGGCGTCACCTGATTGGATTTCAGTTTTTCTTAATTTTTTGTACTTTTGGCGGTAACCTGGTTGCTGGCCGAATTGTCGACCAAAAGCCATGCTTACGCAACTTTGGACTTATCATAGGCCATTATTTCAAGGCTTGGAAGATAGCTGATGGGGAGTGCTTGTTCTGACCCACTTTTCGCGCCATTTTGGCCCATATTCTTTCCCATTGACCATGCGGCCATGAAGGCGGATTTTTAGCCTCTTATCGGTTCAGAACTCAGATTTTGCTTCCTTTGCGTTTGCCGGGACTTTACATCATCATTATGACACTAGACAACCAATTTGAGGCCATTTGAAACACATGCTTGCGTTTTTTGTCCTCTACTTCTTCCATGGCTTTTTCTACCCCAAAAACCGATTTTGCAGATGCCATATTGATATCTCGGGGCAAAAAGAGATCTCATTGAATGGCCGACATTTCGACTATGGTAGCTTCGGAGGTGAAGGCGGAAGAACAACAGGAGACCGTTGACGAGCAAAAGCCAGAATTGGTTGAAACAAAGGTTCGCGTTGGTTTTTTTTCTAATGTTAACTTCAATGCAGGAAATTCAACCTGGGCCCGATGGTGATGTGAAGACAACGCCTGCGATAGAGAAATTAGATCTGACTGAAGCGGATCCACCGAAGCCTGTGGACGAACCTGTGCCCAGTGTTTCTGGCACAGACGCTGTCAAGACGGAGGATGCGGCGGTAGCGGAAGCCAAGCCCTTGGTCGGTTTAATTTCTCGGTTCGCAGAAATGCTAACCAAATCAGAAAGCCTTTCTTGCGAACTAGCCATTTACCATAAGATTGTTAGCAAATCTCGCAAATCGTTTTGCCCCTGAAATTATTTGTTCGAATTGACCGTCTCCAGGAGTCTGCCGAGCCAAAATTGAGTGCAGCGGAAGTGGAGGCGAAGATCAAGCCCGACGAGAAGCCTGCCGAAGTCAAGCCCAAGGAGAAAACCGAGCTCACAAAGGTTGATTTCGCGAAGGTGTGCCTTTGTTCAGGAGAATGGAATGAGAATGTGCTTCGCACATTGCTAGGATAAAAATTTTGAAACTATTTCAATTTTGGGTTTTGGGACGTTTGTATATTTATGTATTTCAGGAAGCGAAGAATCGGGTAAAGCTCTACGTTCTCTGCGACCAGAAGGTTTGGGACGACCGGGGCACTGGACACGTCACCTGCGTCACGTCTCCTGAACAACCCAACGCTTCGTTCATCGTTGTGCAGCTGGAGACGGCAGGGCGTCAGTTTTTATCGTATTTTTTCGTAAAAACAGTGATTGGGTCGGGTTATTCGGGTTTCTCGAATTGCTGGTAGCTTTCTTCCTTTGGGATGTACGGTTCTTTCGCATTATCGTCTCGCGGGGGGGGGGGCAACGTTTTCTTACTAGCATAGAATTTTTCAAATATGAACAGTGGAAATATTTCTAAACGGATTTTCTTATGCCTAGACGCTAACTAAAACTTTACAAAATCGTTAAAAATGCCCAAAATAGCGTTTTTCGACGAAACGGTTTATTTGAACCAAAATTTCGGCTTGTCCAAAACGTTCTAAAAATTTTTCGATAGTTTTCTAGTGGAAATATACGATTTTTCCGAAAACTATGAAAATACTTCCTTAAGTTATTAGCCATTTCTAGACGTAGCCGAAAGAGTTCTTCTCCCCACGATAACGCGAAAGATCCGGATATCCTTGTTTTTTTTCTGACAGATTCCCATTTTGGCTCGGCGTTTCCTTATAAATTTCCCCCATTCGATTCGCGGGGTTTGCATTAGCCATGGCGTCTAAATTCATGGCGCACATCAACAGCGTCCGAATTCGGGATTCGGGCTCTCCGCTGAAAAACGGCTTCTTTGATACGGTATTAGTGGATGCTGCCTTCCCCCCTCTAATACCCACGCAGCGCATAATTCGTCGCCCTTTCTGGGCCTCTCCCTCTTTCCCATTGCCTCGGGGCCCCGCCAGAAATGTTGGCCCCGATAAGCGGCTCCGGTGACGCGATGAGCCGGAAATCTGAATCTGTTGAGACACGTTTCGCGCTATCGATTCCCGGAGTAACTTTCCTTTTGCAGAGAAGAAGAACGTGCTGGAGTCGCGGATACTGCAGGAGACTGCCTACCAGAAGCAACAGGTTCGTTTGGCTGGTGCCTTGAATTTGGTGCTCACTTCTGTATTGGACGGTTCTCGCTAGATTTGTTGACCTTGATGAAATGGAAAAAGTGCTTTGCTTGTGAGATTTTGGCGAAGTATCCACATCTAAAATGATGACTGTGAATGTATCCACAGCTAAAATTACCTATACCTTTTTTTACTTCTTCCCTTTTTTCTTATTTTGGCTTTTATATTCTTACACTTTCACTTCAGTTCTTATAGCGGCCGTTTTGTCGGTGTCTTTTTATTTTTCCGCTTTTTACGTCGCCAACTCTGTGATAATTTCCCATATTCTCCTCCGAAGTGCCTGGAGCTAGGCTTGGGGGAAACTTTTCGTAATACTTTAGCATGGGTTGGCTTTCGTGTTTTGCGCTCCCCAGTAGCTCCCTTGTCTTCATTTTTTACACAAACTCTTCTAAATTCGCGCAATAACGGGCCTTTCCCTCGTTTTGGAGCCGTTTTTGATAAGAGATTTCCCACGCAAGGCGGCGTTTGGCTTGCTGCCGCAAACCCCCCGGTAAATGAACCCCTTTTAGCCCCCGAAATATTTCCCATCCAAATCCCAATTTGCGGGGTCTCTGCCAACGGCATGGCCCAGGGCGCCTGTACTCCCCGCGCCCGCCTTTCTTGGCTCCCCTCTCTCCATCTTTTTGACGTCACAAAATGTGTCCCACGGGCTCATCGGGCCACCACCTACCTGTAGCTGCCGTGTCTTCACGGCCGCACGTTGCCACGACAACTAATTCGTCGCTTTTTGGTCGGGCCCGGCACCGCTTGAGGCCCCGGGACCCCGGGTCGCCGTGTTCTCCGCATCTCCCTGTGGCGCCTTTCGTTCTCTGCGCGCCCACACGCTACAGAGACCAGAACCCGTTTTTCGTGGAGGGGATCGGGGGCGTCCGTACTTGGCGCTGGGCCTTACTTACACCTCCTTCCCGGTACCCCCACTAATGCCCATTTATCGCGGACATGACGGTAGACTTGGATAACTCGCGTTTTTGGCAGGGGATTAGGGTTCTGGTTCGTTAGCGGGGGCGGGGGGGGGGGCGAGACAAAGTTGTAGTTAAAGGGATTTCGACGGCATAATCAATCGGTTACGCGCTGGAAAGAAAATGTCTCTGCGCCGCCCTAATGGCCCTAATTAGTGGTTTACGACTACTAAAAACTTCGAAAAAACTTAAAAATGGATAATTTTTGGAGTGATTATTTCCTTTTCCGAAATTTGACGGAAAAGTCAATCTTTTGCAAAGGTGCTCCGGATGAAAAACTTGAAATTAAAAAACCATTTTTCTTGCTAAATAAGGGCTCCTAATGTCCTTAAACTAGCTTATATGTCCTTACTTTTCCTTTTCCTTTTTTTAGGATTTTTCGCCTACGGTCCCTTTGGAAAATTTGGCTCCCCCCGCTAACGACCCAGAACCGGTTTTCAAACTCTGAAATACCTTTAGCACAATAGCTATCAACAAAAAACCATTTTTATTCCAACACCCGATTGTGCTCTTCTTCGCAAATTCTCCCCACCTCATTTGTTGCCAAACATATTTTGCCAATTCGCCGGGTGGAAGCTTTCCATCGCTGCGATGTTTTGTGGGAACCCTCTCAATTCACCCAGTTCCCTCCAAGATGATGAAGACCGCCATTGGGAATCGATCACGGCGCTTCACAGTCATTCAACGCTTTGTGTAAGAGACCCATGACGATTTTTGCAGACATTGGCTTCATTGATTGCCACTTTTGCTATAGTTTTTGAAAGGTTATCAATGTAGTCAAGCCTACTGTATCCAGCCAACCTCCTAGTTTCCGGCCTTAATTACCGGTATTCCCCGGGTTACCGAGCTTTCCCCTTCACGATTGTTTGTAGACGGCCGCAACCGAAATCCGGGGCCCGCTGGGAATTTGCTTTTGCGAATCGTGGGGCTCCCTGGTTAATCAGTCGGCTCCACCCGGATTAGAACTAATTTCGGGCGACGGAGAATACCTTGTCGCGGCTTTGAAAATAATCACGGCCTTCCCCCGCTAATCCCGATGAACTGAACATCCCAGCCAGCCTGATTAGCTCATTTTCATTCCGAATTTCTTCATCGTCTCTCTTTTTTCTCCCTAGCCTTCGCATTGCAGGGTATCACCCCCTACGGGTATTCGCACGATTGTGGCAGAGAAATGGACAACGTATTTAGCGAGAGCCGATCCGATGATGTACAACTTTTAGCGAGCTAGAAAATTGCAGCAAAAAATTTGCCGTACGCCCATTAATTGGCCATTTTCAGGAGACGTTGATAGTGTGGTCCGAATCCGAGAACTGCGATCTGGCGCTGTCCTTCCAAGAGAAGACGGGCTGCGAGGAGATCTGGGCGAAGATTTGCGAGGTGCAAGGCCGAGACCCTGACGTGAGCAGCATGTCCATTTCCAGTATTCGTGATTTTAGGATGGCTACGACGATATTGATGAAGAAGCGTCAGATCCCGGCCAGCACAACCCAACTCTAATGACGGTCAGTTTTAAAGGCAATTGAGCTTTACGATCCTCGCGCAAAACCGATTTCGAATAGAAAAATCGGTTTTTGTACAGGGGCCGTAAAGCAGCATCAAGCTCAGTTTTATACCTTGTTTATTAACACATTTATTTTCAGGCCCGCACGAACACCATTGCCTTGCCGCCGTGCGAGATGTCGAGACTTGGGGAGATCGAGGTATTTCAGTTTCCTGATTCCCTTGATTCAAAAAACTTTAGCTGCTGCTCAGCAACAATCTGCAAACGCCGGCCATCCGTGACCGCATGGCGAACACGATTGAGCTTGAAGAGTTGGTGTTTTCTTTTCGACGCTTCATCTCTGCTTTTCTAGATACATCCCAAAGCTGTGCGACGTGTTTCGGATGTGCGAGGACGTCGAGAATCTGGACGGCTTGCACCAGATGTTCAACATTGTACGCCATCTCTTCCACCTCAACCGGAACAGCATCATCGACCGGCTGTTCGCCAAAGAGCACCTTCGTGAGGTCCTCGGGATGCTTGAGTAGGTTTTCGTTTCTGAGCACTTTCGCGCCTCCCTAGGATCTGTATCGATTTATGGCCGATTTTTTTCAGATACGATCAATCCAAGGAAGAACCCCGCAAGCACAGGGAATTCATTTTCGAGAAGACGCACTTCAAGAACATCCTCAACATCGAACAAGAAGATTTGAAGTGAGTGGAGCATCCCATTCCATGCAATTATCTTTTTTCTAGGGACAAAATTCGACACGCGTACGTCGTTCAATACGTGCAAGACGTGTGCTTCCCCGCCCCGTCGATCTTCGAGGAGAACCTGCTGACCGTGCTGAACAGCCACCTCTTCTTCCATCGTGTTGAGATCGTCTCCTTGCTTATGGTTGGTTTTAGACAAACGCCGGCATACGTATTGGGTTTTTATCAAATTTTTGTTAACCAAAAATTTCTAGGAAGAACGCGTGCTGCGTAGCCTGTTCACGGAGCTGAAGGACGAAGCGTGCACCGTCGCGAGACGAGCCGAACTTGTCAAATTCCTGCGCGAACTCTGCTCCTTCTCCCAGGCGCTGACGAACAGCGGGCCGAACAGCCGCGAGGCCTTCTTCAAGGTAAAACTTGCTGAGGTAAAGCACATTACGATGGGTGGGACGGACCGGTGGAGCCGAAGTTTTTTTGCTACCAATCAAAAATCCAGACCGGTCCGTCGCAGCCCTACGTACAACATGGCTTCCTTAACATGATAGCTCTTCTGGTTGGCAGTCGTCTGATCGAAAAACACCTGATCGAAAATCGCCTGATCGAAAATCGCCTGATCGAAAAATCGCCTGATCGAAAATCGCCTGATCGAAAATCGTCTGATCGAAAAGTCGCCTGATCGAAAAATCGCCTGATCGAAAATCGCCTGATCGAAAATCGTCTGATCGAAAAGTCGCCTGATCGAAAATCGCCTGATCGAAAATTATCGGGGCTGAAGGACCAAGCCAGGTGAAATACAATTTTTCTTGCCCCAGCACCTGGAAGTAATTTGTCATACCATGCTTCGTGGTTAGGCTTAGACTTAGGCACCAACGACGCACTCAACCAACACTTTGGCTGCAAGCACCCGTCCATGTGGAAATTCCTCAACTACCTTCAGAAGTTCGAGCTCAAAACCCGGGTCAAACTGAGACAGCTCCGAGAATACGCGCATGCCCCGAAGAAACGCGACCGGACGACGCTCGACGAGCAGCAGAAAATATGCTACAACTTTCATAAGGATTTGCTTTGCTTTGCGATTGTCGATCGGGCGACTTTTCGATCAGGCGACTTTTCGAACAGACGATTTTCGATCAGACGACTTTTCGATCAGACGATTTTCGATCAGGCGATTTTCGATCAGGCGATTTTTCGATCAGGCGATTTTTCGATCAGGCGATTTTCGATCAGGAGATTTTCGATCAGACGACTTTTCGATCAGACGATTTTCGATCAGGCGATTTTCGATCAGGCGATTTTTCGATCAGGTGACTGGGAATCAGCTCTTCTCTCGAAAAGCGGTTGTGGGGAAAGCGAAAAAAACCTGGGCTTTTGCTCGCCATACAGAGTCGTCATATTAATTAATGGATCCACACCCTGTTTTTCAGACGCTGATGCACAACGACGTCCTGGCCACCATCGAGCCCTCGCTGAAATCGCCGCACGTCGAGACGCGCAACACGATCGTTGAAGTGCTGGGGATGCTCGTCGAATTCAGCCCGCACACCATCCGCGAACACATCATCAGTCAAGCAAAGAACAGCACCGACGTACGTTTGTTCTATCTATTTCTTGAATTCTTTTTTAGGAAAACGTCTTGCTGAATCTGCTGATCTGCCACATGCTCAATGATCGGGATGCGGAGTTGTCGAGTGCCGAGCAAGTATTCCAGGTACTTTTTTTACTATTTCACGAGCCACCCTCTCGAGCCCGCAAACTTATTCCCTATCCTTGTTTCTGCAGGCTCTTCGCACGATCATCGACCCGGACAACATGGGGGCGAACAAGACGGAGCGCGGCGAATTCCTGGTCTTCTTCTACCGCCGCTGCATCAACACCGTGGTGAAGAAGTTGTTCGAGAACGTGGAAGGCGGGAAGCTAGTGAAAGGTAAACCGGATTTTCAATCAATTCTCCGTCGTCTGTTTTTCGGGGTTTTTTTTCGCCCTTTCAACGCCTTTTCCAGATGATTACTACACGGCCAGCGTCTCGCATATGGTGGTGCGTCTCCTCTGCTTCTGCGTCGAACACCACGCGTTCAACGTGCGCCAATGGGCCCTCGGCGTGGGGTTGATCGGCAAAGTGATCATCATGCTACAAAGTCGACACCATCTCCTTGTCTTGGGTAAGAATAGCATTTTTTTCGTAACAAAATCTGGTTCTAGGCACCCTGCGGTTCTTGAGAAGTATTTGCGCTTTGAAGGACTCGTTCTTCACCCAGGAACTCATCAAGCACAACACCATCGCGGCGGTTAGTTTTATTTTCTTTCTATTTGCCATTTTTATTTAATGCTTAAATGGGACAATGTCTAAATTTCATAATGCCGGCCACGAAGTCTTGAAAATTTCGGCAGTATACAATTTGGGCATTTTTTTAAAAGGCCCTTATCTTTGCCTCGTATTCTATGGATTTCTCCTTCAGATCGTCCGCTGTTTGCTTGCGAATGGACCCCGTTACAATCTACTCAATTCTGCCATCATCGAATTCTTTGATTTCATGAGACAGGTTTGTTAGAATTTTCTAAATTTACTATCGTGGTTATTAGGAGGACATGCGCACGCTGATCAAAGTGTCGATCGAGAAGCACTGGGAGGAGCTGCAGCACATCACCTATGTGAAGGTGTTCAAGAATTTGAAGAACAGGTACGCAATTTTTTTTTGGTTATATTTTCTTTACAGGTATGAGCAACATCAAGAAAAGGGCCCAGTGCGCAACGATTCGTTGAAGGAAAACCAGGAGATGAACAAGGCGGCGAAGGAGCGCCTCGTACGTTTTTTTCAGACTTGGCATTTACTGTATCCATTTATAGTTTGACGATGATGATCAATGGTTCTCGCAAGATGACGACGATCAAGAACAGAACACCGTGCCCAGCAGCCAGCCATCGTTCTCGGGCGTTGGTGCGCCGCCTGCAAGGAAGACGGCCGTTGAGCCGAGCTTTCCATCAGTGATGCGGAACAGATTCGGAGAAGAGGTAGAATGAAGATTTATTAGGAAAATAATTAGAATAAATAAAAAAAGGGTTGTTTGCTCTACTAAAAATCTAAAAGTTTTCTGGTTTTCGAAAACGCGTTTTTAGGATGACGAAGAAGATGGCGCCGTGTTCTCTTCCTCGTTGCTCAGCCAGAAAAAGCCGAACATGATCAGAATCTTGCCGTCGCCGAATCGCTCGCCCAACTCGACAGCCAACGCAGGTGCCGAGCGTAGCCGCTCCCCATCGTCCGCTCAAAACTCTGGCGTCGAGGAGGTGCGTTTTAGTGGTTGTAGCTGAACCTGTTTTTTAGGTCTCTAGCAGCAACGGTTCCGCCACCATCAAACTGCCCAACTCGCCCGTATCCACTGCACTAAAGGTAAAACGGTTTTTAGGAATTGTCTAATTTCTTGTCTAGACGCTCTCTGAGTACGGCGATTCGGATTCTGACGAGGATGATGTGTCGTCGGGCAGCAGCAGTCGGGAAGGCGAGGTCTCTTCAACCAGCCGCGATGACGAGGGCTCATCCCCGTCACCATCGGCTGAGGATCCCGCGACTCCGGAGAACCCGTTGAAGCGTCGACGCACCGAATCTCCGAACGGACAGAGCAGCCCAAACGAAGCTGAACACGCCATGACCACCTTGCTCGCGTAAGGATTTGTTACTACTATATTTCAACTCGAAAAACTATTTCCGAACCCGAAATGCTTTGAAAGAGTCAAAATTGATAGGTTTCTAATTTTTTCGATACATTTTTGTAAGGTTTCCAAGTCTACCAATAGTAAAAAGGACCCTGTAGAAACAATCGTACTATTTCTATTTGTGAAATTTGCCCCCCCCGATAATATGAAAGAACCGAAAATCGGTATCCAAGCGTAAATCCATAAAACATATGCCTTACCGAACAACCGTTTTGTTTTCAGAAAGGAGCCGCTGGAGAAAAAGGCTCGTGCATCACCATCGCCTCCACCCGTCGGCGTCGCCACGAAGTTCGTGCAGAGCCCCACGGTCACCGTCAAGGATTCGGCTGCAGCACCAAAGACTGATTGAGAGCCCTCCCAAATTTTCACTTTTTCTGTTTCGGTTGGTTGTGATGTACCCGACTCGCCCACTCACCCCCTAGCTCCCCTGTGCCTTTTAGCATGTACTGCTGCTGCTGCCCTGCAAAACCATTCCCCCCTCGAAAACAGACGAGCAGGGTGGCCAGACGCGCGTCGTGAGCATTCGAGGCTGGCTCCTTGCCTGCTCCGCCCGATAATGTAAAAAACGGTCTGAAGAAAGCGCGCCCGCGACCACCTTCCGCTAAAACCTCTTCTCTGTGTAACTTTTGGCCCGGCGATCTCCGTATTGCGGCATGGCGCGCGGCTCGTTGAAATCTAGGCATCCATATTCCATGGGGGGAGACCCGTTGTGTAGCTGGCTTTGAAAGCACAATGTATACACCTGGTGGCCGCTTTTTGGGTTGCCCCCGGGGGTCAGCTACCTCTGGCGCCTATGGACGCCCGTCCCGAAATTACGCTACCAAAAACCTGCCTCGCCAAAGGGTTTTTCGAAATTCTTTTGCCGAAAGCCTTTCCGAGCTTTCAAACTGCGCAACCCGGTCTCCCCTTCTCCAATTCCGTAGCCCACAGCAATGGTCTCAACCCTGTGTTTCGATTGATTTGTGTGTGTTGTCCTCCCCGCTGCCCCAATCGCCTCACTGTGAATCGAATGGTGCCCCTCAAATATGTCAGCCCCAGTGAACGTGTCTCCCGGCCTTCCTCCACCCACATTTACTCCACTATTTTACGCTCTGCTCGCCCCGCTGAGGCTCAGTTCTGCCGCGCGCGCACAGTTCGGGCTTTATACTTTGCATTTCCGGCAGGCCACCCATCCGATTGCGGCTGTTATTGTTTGTCCCCTGTAACCCCCTGCCCCCCTGTTCTTCATTGTTTTGTGTCCCAGTACCAGCGACCCTCGCTGCGCACCTCGTTATTTATAAGGTGTTATAACATCCCCTGCGACTCATTTTATTGGTTTTTCTGTTGGGGGTTTAGTCTGCCCCGTTCACCACTTTCGACCATCAAACGGTTCAATAAATCGTAATCTCACTACAACATTCACCGTGTTTCGCACGCCATTTGACTGAATACGATGTAATCTTTATTGGCGAGAGCCGGAAGAGACAGTGGTAATTATTTGACGCCGACACCTGCTTCGTTTTCATTTCCTTTCTAGTTTCATATATCTATATCCCGGAATAAGCTTCCAGTTTCATATTTCTTTCTTCGAGAATCACGAATATTGCTCTTTTTCAGCGACATATGGTGACCAAGGGAGGTCCCGATGGCGCCGGAAAGGGAGGTGCCGTCACCGTGACGGCCCTCGAGAAGGACCCGATCATGGAGGTACAATAAATTTATCACTGGTGACGTAGTTTTGGTCAGTTATCCTTCAAACATTGGCACCCATCTACCACGGCCGACCACACCCCGTTCGACTCGGCGCTGGTCGTCGACATCTACGAGAAGCACATCAAGGGCTCCGGCTTTAGCCCGAGGAAGATTGTCATTTTGGAGTTGAGGTATGGGAAGGAGAACCGCATTGAAAGGAGTTTTCGTCTAGAACGTAAAATTCATTCAGTTGCCTCTATATCTTTTTTTTTCTTACGTAAATTGGTCGGCTCTTAATAACTTTACTGCGTAGAATTTAGCCTGCTTTGTAAAATCGCTCGGAATAATTTATAATTCATTTTAGCCAATATCTGGAGCGCTACCTGTGGGCCAACTACACGCCGGAGCGCGCTTCAAATGCCCACATCCTCTCCATTGTGATTATGATGAATGAGAAGTTCCGGGAGCGCATTTCCGCCTGGGAGGTGAGGGTTATTCAGATCAAAATTGTATCTCTTTTGATTCCACGACAACGATAAAATTGCTTTTCAGTGCTTCACTCTGTCTCCGACGCATTTTGTCGACTTCATGTCCCGCGTCTGTGCGTTGACCCTCGATGAATCGCCGAGCAGCACCGAGCAGTGCCAACTACTACGCTTCCTTGTCAACGCCTTCAATTCGGTGGTGAGTTTTTCTACAACGATTTGATTTTTGAACGATCTTCGTTCTATGGATCTTTGTTTAGGAGGTCGACATTGTCCGCGAACACGTCGGCAAGCTTACCCATCTGGCAATTTGGGAGAATTTACTGCCGGTAAGTTCTGATTTAGACAAGACTTTGGATTCCTGGTCTCTTTCCCACCTAATTAACTCACTTCAGGAACAACGCGCCGACTACTTCAAGAAAAACAAGAAGCTCAAGAAATACTACACAGTACTAGAGCGGCAAATGAAAGTAGGGCCCAAAATTTCGGCTTTAATTTTTGTTTAGGAGAACGCGCCAAGCATCCCGACCAAATTCGAGCGCGAATACCTCTGGAAATTGATCCAGCGTTTCGTCAAGACACTTCAATCGGTTGATGATGACACGAAGGGTACTAGATTATTTCGGATTCCTTATGTTTTTTTCCTTCCAGAAGTCGACATTGCCGAAATTCACTATTGTGAGCGCTTCGTCGAGCTGCTGATCGATCTCGAAGCGCTGCTGCCGACAAGGTAAAACCGTGTTTTCGAATATTTCCTACATTTCCTTTTTTCTAGACGCTTCTTCAACGCTCTGCTCCATTCCTCGCACGTGCTGGTTCACTGCGTCACGTCAAAGTTGATTGAGACGGAAGCCGGCTCGCTGTTTTGCCAGGTAAGTGATTTTCTACAATGCAGTGGAAATATCATCATCGAAATTTCCCGCTTACCCCTCATTTTTCAGCTCGTCACCATGCTCAAATTCTATGCCCGGTTCGAAATTGACGAGATCACTGGACAACAACTTTCCCAGACAGAGGTAAGCGCTCTTCGATTCCCCCCGAACTAGCCGATTCTCCAGGTGATCGACCGGCACTACGACTACGTGGTGGCCCTGCAAAAGGCGGCGTTTATTTACTTCAAGGAGAGCATGTCCGACTTTTACCTGATGAACATCAGCTCGGTCGACACGCGCAAGGCACTCAGCGTTGTTTTTGAGCGGATGAGGTTGGGTCAACTATTCCCACCTTTTTAACAATCTTTTTAGCACCGAAGAGCTCTACCGTTTCGCCGACTACCTCCACCTGGTGCCGCACATTGAGGCCGAGGACAAGGAAAACGCTAGCAAGCCTAACATGGACAAAGCGTTTCTGGCTGAGGCCATTGTGAGTTTTTGCAACGTGTTCATGGAATTTTCCTCCATTCCAGACACTGCACTGCGAGCGGCGTCAAAACCAGCTGCAGCAGCTCAACGAGCAGCCACTGTTCCCCACCGAGGCCGTGTTGTGGAACGAGAATCTCGTCCCGTACGAGCATTTCTCGGGAGAAGGTACGTGGACGATTTTTTTTTGTGGTTTACGACTCTTTTGCAGGGGTGCTGGCGCTGAACAAGCTGAATCTGCAATTCCTCACGCTGCACGACTACCTGTTGCGCAACTTTAACCTGTTTCAGTTGGAGAGCACTTGTACGCGTTTTTTACTGCTGTACTGCGCTTCTTTCGCATTATCGGAGGGGGGCTGATGACCATTTCAAAGTCGAAATTTTCGTCAAAAAAGGCCATTTTTGGTCGGAAATAAGTTTTGTGATGTGGTTAATAAACATTTGATTTTTAAAGTTTCGCTATCTAGATTTGAGAATTAAAGCCTAAGAAAGAGTTAGTCCCCCCTATAATGCGAAAGAACCTAGCTAGTTATCGGTATTAACTGAAAGATATGTTTTTAGACGAAATCCGCCAAGACCTCGAAGATGTGCTGTTCCGGATGAAGCCGTGGAGGCATGAGGTTGATTTATACTTTTTATCTCCTTTACCAACCCAATTTTTAGTCGAAAGACGACGTCGTGTGGGGTGGATGGGCCCGAATGGCGTTGCCGCTGACGGATATGAAGATTGTGGAGGTGAGTGCGTTTACTACAGTCAATTACCACCCCATCTAGGTGAACAAGCCGAACGTCAGCGACAAGGCTCCAGCCCGCGTCCGCGCCGAGTTCACCGTCAACATCGGCAAGCGGCACGACATCCGGAACGAGTGGGAGGGACTCCGAAAGCACGACGTCGTTCTGCTGATCTGCTGCCGCCCCAACGAGCCGGTCGGCACGAAATACGACGTGCGCAGGCCGTTCAAAGATCAGGTAGCGTACGAAAATTTTCGGATCAAATTTTTGCAGATTGACGTCACCTACGTACGTGGTGGTGAGGTTGAGGGTATGCTGGACGATCAGGGGCAACTTATTGAGGAGTACAGTATGTTTTATCTTTTGGATGTGTATTTATCAACATTTTAGCATCCTACGAACGAAAGCCGAAGATCAAGGGCGAGTTCCGGCGCTACCGCATCCTGCTCGACCCCAACCAGTACCGCGCTGACATGGAGAAGACGGCGTTGCACGGGCATGAGGTATGCTTTTATTTGGGCTATTTTATTTTTATTTTTCCCCTTTTCAGGACGTCTACTACACGTTCAATCTAGTGGTGCGACGAGACCCGAAAACGAACAATTTCAAGGTGATTTTTACTCCGCTCTCTCAGCCGCTTTATCTATCTATCTCTCTCTCTCTCCTCTCTCTCTCTCTCTCTCTCTCGATCGCTCTCCAAATGTTTTATTTATCATATTTAGGCCGTTCTCCAAACGATCCGCCAACTGCTCAACACCGATTGTGTCGTGCCCGACTGGCTCCACGATAACATCCTCGGCTATGGCGATCCCGACTCGGCGCACTATTCAAAGTACCATCCCTAGCATCTCGTTTTTATTTTTACTTCCAGAATGGCTACCACGATCCCCTCGTCCGACTTCAACGACACGTTCCTGTCGTATGAACACTTGCGCGAGTCGTTCCCTGGCTACGAGATAAAGCCGACAACAGAGGACAAGGCGCTGCTCAAGCCGCCCTTCAAGTGAGCCGCTTTTCCTTGGGCTTTACAAAGTGTTTAGGCTGACGTTCCGCGATCTCGATCGACGCCAAAATGTTGACCATAGCAAGACGGTCGATGTCGAGCCAATCAAACGAATTTCCCGGACGCCTTATCCGCTGAATGTTCGCCAAAACGCGATCAAATTCACGCCCACGCAGGTGAGCATTTTTTAGAATTCTCGCTCGATACATGGAGTTTTGCAATACCGTTTCCTTTTCAGATTGAAGCGATCAAGTCGGGTATGCAGCCCGGTTTGACGATGGTGGTCGGCCCGCCCGGAACCGGCAAAACCGACGTCGCCGTGCAGATCATCTCCAACATCTATCACAATTGGCCCAATCAGCGGACCCTTATCGTCACCCACTCCAATCAGGTGAACCTAGTTTTCTAGTTTCTTTTTAACCTATTTTTCTAGGCGCTGAACCAGCTGTTCGAGAAGATCATCGCCCTCGACATTGACGAACGCCATCTGCTGCGTATGGGTCACGGCGAGGAAGGGCTCGAGACCGAGAAGGACTTTTCGCGCTACGGACGTGTCAACTATGTGCTCAAGGTTTGCAAATATCTGAAAACCGGAAGTTTATCACAATTTTTCAGGAGCGCATCCGACTTCTTGGCGAGGTCGAGCGCCTAGCAAAGAGCATCGGCCATCCTGGGGACGTTGGCTACACTTGTGAGAATGCCGGCAATTTCTATAATTACGTGGTAAGTTTCAAATCTGCTATATTTGCGACTTTCCTTGCCTTGAAAAACTATATTTTTTTTCTAGATCTGCCTGCGATGGAGCGAGTTCAAGAAGACGATCGCTAAAGACCCGAAGAACCCGCTGGCCGTCCGCAACCATTTCCCCTTCAACAAATTCTTCGAGGACATCGACTCGCTTTTCTCGGTATGGTGTTTTCGAATCCCTTATTGATTTCCTGCTCATAGGGCACCGCACACGACGAAGAAGTGGCCGAGTCTTGCTGGAAGCACATCAGCCACATCTTCAAGCAGCTCGCCGAGTTCCAGGCCTTTGAGATGTTGCGCAACGGGCGGGATCGCACAGAGTATTTGCTGGTGGGTCGAGTTCAATGCATTTTTAACGTTATCTGACGATGCATAAATAGCACTTAAAAGTACAATTTATCCTTTTTTTAGATCAAGGAAGCAAAGATCATTGCCATGACGTGTACCCACGCGGCCCTGCGCAGAGAATACCTCGTTGAACTCGGCTTCAGGTTTACGCCTTGAAGATTAACTAAATTTTCGTCTTAGGTACGACAACATCTTGATGGAAGAATCGGCGCAGATCCTCGAGGTCGAGACGTTCATCCCGCTGCTCTTGCAGGTTTTCGTCGCTCTCAAATTTTCCAATCCATGCTTTCAGGACCCGGATCAGGGCCGAAATCGGCTGAAGCGCTGGATCATGATCGGGGACCACCACCAACTGCCGCCCGTCGTCCAGAACCAGGCCTTCCAAAAGTACTCGAATATGGAGCAGGTATCGCAAATCTTGATTTCTAATTTCACCCAATTGTCCAGAGTCTATTCGCCCGCTTCGTACGACTTGGCGTGCCCACGGTGCTGCTGGATCGACAGGGACGTGCCCGCTCGGAGTAAGCGTTTTTCTTCCACGTGGATAATTTTGTTTTAGAATCTCGGCCCTCTACTCGTGGCGCTACAAGGGACTCGGAAATCTTCCGCACGTCGAAGCCCTGCCCGCGTTCCAGGCGGCCAACGCCGGCTTCGTCTTCCCGTTCCAGCTCGTCGACGTCGGCAATTTCCAAGGGAAGGGAGAATCGACGCCCAGCCCCTACTTCTATCAGGTATCAAGTTCAATTTCTCGCACCTCTTTCTGGCAAAAAAACCCTTGAAAATTTAATTTGAGCGCGAAAAATCTATTTTTTTTCGGCGATCTTTCGCGATCAGCCATCTTTCAGGCTTTTCGAACACTTTTCTGACTTTTCCAAAGACTTTTCGGCTTCAACTAGTGAAATTACTAAAAAACATAAATTTAAAACGCTTGTATCCGATATACAAAGTATGGGAAGTAAAAAAGGTGTCTCGGCCGGAATTTTCAAAATCGTTTTAGTGATAACCAGCACATTTTTTTTCAGAACCTTGGCGAGGCCGAATACGCAGTGGCCATCTACACGTACATGCGCGTGCTCGGGTACCCGGCATCCAAGATCTCCATCATTACAACGTAATTCCGATCTGGAATTCTATCAATGTGTTTATAGGTACAACGGTCAGGCCCAACTCTTGCGCGACATCGTGGAACGGCGCTGCATCGCGAATCCGCTGATTGGTGCCCCGGCTAGGGTATGAAATCGGCACTTTATCTTTTTGTATAGTAACTTCTAGATCTCGACCGTCGACAAGTACCAGGGTCAACAGAATGACTTCATCATCCTCTCGCTCGTCAGGACGGCCAATATTGGACATATCCGGTAAATTTTTTTTAGCGGCTTTGAGTTTTTCATTTTAGTGACGTGCGTCGTCTCGTCGTGGCGCTGTCGCGTGCCCGTCTCGGGATGATCGTGCTGGGCCGAGCGTCGCTGTTCCGCAACTGCTACGAGCTGACGCCGGCTTTCACACAGGTGTGAATTTGGATTTTATTCTTCTGGCCGACTTTTTGCCTGATTTACGTGCCATTTTTGCTTTATCCTCCCTTTTCAGCTATGCGCTCGACCTCTGAAACTCCAACTGGTGCCCAGCGAGACGTATCCGGCCACCAGAAAGGTAGAGCAATTATTTTTATGATTTCATGGCTTGGCTTGAATCTGGCTAACTTGTTATTTCCAGGTCAGCGAGCCGCCGAAGAAGGAGGACGTCGTCCAGATCGAGAACACGGAGCAGATGTGCCACTTTGTGCATCAGTTCTACTCGGCCAACATGGAGCACCTCATGGCCGAATACGAGGCTAACATGGCGGCCATGCGCGAGGCGCGCAAGGTAAGAATTTTTAGGTATTATCGAGTCACTTATCTTTCCAGGCCACGCTCCCGCCCGAGCACGACCTCGACGGCGACGAGCCGGTGGAGACGGAGGAACAGAAGAAGCGCCGTGAGGCCATCGAGGCCAAAAAGAAGGAGGAGGAGGACAAGAAACGGGCCGCCGAGACCGAGCACGACATCCAGTTCGAGTCGATGGACTTTGAACGGCTCGAAGAAATCCCTAAAATATGAGCGCCCCGCTAATTTATCGAGTTGTTGTGATTTTCCGGTGGCACCACACCGCTGTCTCCCCGTGTTTCGTTGATACTCAAGCTTTTTTGTCAAAAGTTCTCATGTTATTTGTTGTTATCCGACCCTTTTTGCGAGCCCGAGTCATTGAATTGACGCCCCGCACACAGACACTCATTTCTCTTGTACGTGTTTTCGGTGGAGATCGTTTTGTTGATAGTGATGAGCGATTGAATAAAGGATTGTCTAAATTTAAGTAAATCACAAACTAAAATCTAACATGGTTCACATCACATCACATCACTCGGACTTTGACAAGCTGCAGAAGAAGTTGGCGCACTCGTGGTACGCCTGTAAACCGCGAATAATCACAAGTCTCGGGTAGCTATAAAATTGTTCTTCAACTACTATCAATAGGTCTGAATAATTATTTTAATAGGAATTTATTAGATTTTTGTATAAAAAGAATTTTTCCGTTCTTTACGCTCTTACGTTTTTTCCGTTGCGATCCGGCACTTGCTAAATCGCGCCCCGCCTTCGTGATTTTGAATTCCGGCTTGTTCTTTCAGATTTCGCCGTCAATGTTCCAAAATCTTTTATGCTTTTTAAAACGTTCATTTTTATCTGTTGATGTTCTCCGCCTGCATTTCAAACATTTTCTTTTTCAGGAGGTACACACGCGCGCAAATGGACGTCCTCGAAAACCAGCTCGACCGCGCCGGCATCTTCTCCCGCGACTCCACCCGATTCTTCCAAAAGTGTACGAAGCCCGACCGCAAGGAATACCAACGGATCGTCATCGCCACCTCCATCGGCGTGGCCATAATGGGCTTCCTCGGCTTCTTCGTCAAGCTCATCCACTACCCGATCAAGCAGATTTTGTTTTCCTAGTAATTCCGATGAGAACGACCGATATCTGTGAAGACTGATTTTTCGCTGTTTTGTTGCTCGTTTATTGAGATTCTTGTGTGCGCCACGGGTATGTAATAAAGATCTTTTCAAATGAAAGTGCCGTTTCAAGACAAGATGTTATAGGACCTTGTTGTTACTTGTGAACCGTTGAAAACTCAACATTTCTTTTATAAACTGAGGGACGAGGTCCATATTCTAGTTTGATGGACTTTGTAGGCATCGTTTTAGTCTGAAGCGAGAAAGCTATACTCCAGCACTATTGATTGACCTTCGCTAGCTAAAACTGGGTGTATTCTTGCTAATATTTCGGACCAAGACTCATTTAGCTGATCCCAGAAAAAGCAAGCTAGTAAACTGCAAATCTGACTGACAGCCAGCGCGTTCCTCTTTTATTCTGGCCTCTTTCTTCTAAGGCCAGTCATTCTGATGCAAGCGCCCACCGGCACCCCTTTTTCCCCATTTCGTCAACGCGCCCCCACTTTTCATTGCGTAAATGCGAAATGTTGCGTACGGCCGCCGGCTTTTATGCATTTTTTGCACGTCACTGATCCATTTTTGGCGTTTCCTGGCCAAAAATGAGCTAGTATAGTTGATGGATCAGGGTAATGAGCTACTTTTCAGGGCACGACAATGGCCGCCGAGACGGTGACAGCCGCTGTTGAGGAGATGAAGCTGGAAAACGGTTGGTTTTTATCTTGTATGCTATTGCATTAGTGAAAACGTGTCTTTTGGAACTTGTAAATTGCGTTAGGAAGCTTGAGTGAATCTGTTTGACGTCTCAAAGGTTCCTACATTATTTATTTTTCAGGAGGAGAGAAAGACGTGAGCAAAGATGACGTCGTAACTCCATGGGATGTGTCTTCTTCTTCGGCCACCGGCGTCGATTACAACAAATTGATAGGTAATGGATTCGGAGAAATGCATATCATTTTTTAGACAAATTCGGTTGCCGGACCCTGACTGCCGATCTGGTCGAACGAATCGAGCGGCTGACCGGAAAGCCGGCGCACGTCTTTTTACGACGAGGAATGTTCTTCGCTCATCGGTACATGCATCGTTTAGGTTCTATGATTTTGTTTATAGGGATTTGACCGCCATCCTCGATCGCATCGAGCAAAAGAAGCCCTTCTATCTGTACACCGGGCGCGGCGCTTCGTCTGGTTCGTGTCCTTTCATTGCTAAAATCTATTGTGTAGGTTCCCTCCACCTTGGCCACATCATTCCCTTCATTTTCACCAAATGGCTACAGGACATGTTCGACGCGCCACTTGTCGTGCAGGTATCCATTTAGCAAGCGATTTTGAAATGTTGAGAAGCTGGAGAAGTTTTGACGCATTTATTCCGGGAAAGTTCAAGGATTAAGTATTTTTTTTTTTTTTTTTTTTTTTTTTTATTTTTTTTTTTTTATTTTTTTAATTTTTTATTTTTTTATTTTTTTTTTTTTTTTTTTTTTTTTTTTTACTCTTATTCCACCCTATCCTCTAAATACCCATTTTTTAAAATAAATTTAAAAATTATTTTTTTACATTTTTAATTTTTTTATTTTTTTTTTTTTTTTTTTTTTTTTTTTTTTTTTTTTTTTTATTTTTTTTTTTTTAAACACTTCTATTTCCCCCCATAAAAAATTTTTTTTTTTTTTTTTTTTTTTTTTTTAATTTTTTTTTAAAAATTTTTTTTTTTTTTTATTCTTTTTTCCCCTTCTTTTTTTTTTTTTTTTTTTTTTTTTTTTTTTTTTTTTTTTTTTTTTTTTTTTTTTTTTTTTTTTTTTTTTTTTTTTTTTTTATTTTTTTTTTTTTTTTTTTTTTTTTTTTTTTTTTTTTTTTTTTTTTTTTTTTTTTTTTTTTTTTTTTTTTTTTTCTCCCCCCTCCTTTTTTTTTTTTTTTTTTTTCCTCCCCTCTTATATTTTTTTTAAAAAAAACCCCACCAATTTTTTCCCCTTTATTATATTGGGAACCCCACCCTTTTAAAAAAATTTAAAAAAATTTTGAAAAAAATTTTTTTTTCAACTAACATTGTAAAATCAGTCAATGATGCACGCGCGCTCACATTCGGCTTTTGTTTTGAAATTGTTAGCCGTGCCGCCGCAACCCCCGTAGACGAACTCCTTGCAGAGGCCCTCGGTCGCGTTGAAAAAGAAGCGAATGTGGTGCGCCCTGCAAAAAAAAACGTTTTAGCTAGAAGCGAATGGCAAAGAAGCTAGCCGTATAGTACGCACCTAGGTCCTTAGCTAGTTTTTTGAGCAAAAGAAGCGGTTAAGACTTACAAGCAGTGTCGGGGCGAGTTTCCGTGCGGATTGAGGTAGCACATGTCGGCCGGTTCCTTCAGGCGCGGCTTTTCCAGTTCTGTCGGGCTGTTGACGGCTAAAGCAAGAGATTCTTGGGGTTTTATTTATTTTCCTACTGACCTGCCATGGTGCACATAGTCAAGAAGGCGATGATTGCTAGGTTTTGGAGGGTGGTCATTACTGAAATTTGATTTATTAGTTGTTTTTTTAGTTTTTTCGAAGCTTGAGGAGTTCCGGCCAAGCTAGAACATTCTAACTATTAAGAAAAAAAATTTATATTACGATAGTTTCTTAGTCTTATGCACTTTAAAAAGGCTGTCGGCATTTTTAGCGTACAAACTATCCAGAAAACCTGGATTTCGAAAGTTCTAGGTAGGAAAATAGAAGCAGCTGGCCAGCAAGATCATATCCTATGATTTGGCCAAGCCATCTGCGAAAACGTTTATTTGATGGTTATGAGGGGGCGCCGTGTCCGACACACAGATGTGCCAAGCCGAGGGAGGGGGGCAGATATGACCTGTGTGTTTTCTATTAGCAAGAACGCCGGGTTATTGACACGCTTGGTGGATGAGGGGCCGCCGGAGAGAGAAACACATGTGTCTGTGGTTGTTGAAATGCTGCTCCGCAGACACGGGGTTAAATCGGCTCAAAAAAAAGTTGAAATTAGTGCGTGTTTTTCCAATTTTAGGGGACTTTAGGAGCGCCACAATTTCTTGTCGCTCGAGGCAAAACTTTATGCATCTTTTCAAAGGATTTTTAGCTTTCTAATGGGCTAAAATTTTCTTGTCTTTTATTTAGGCAGACGTCCTGACGCATGTTTCCAGCTGTTGATTCACACATTTCGGCTTTTCCCTCCGAAACCACTGCCTCCCCCATCTAATAATTTTTGATGGCGCGACTGGTGGGGGAGGATCGTATTTACAAGAAACCAGCCGATAAAATCGATTTAAAATAGCGTCAACAAAAACTGACCAAACCTGCCAAAAACCCAGGCACCGACATGCGCATGACCTTGGACAATGCTATTGACGTCTTGTTGGGCACCTGGAAAAGGCTGAGTGAAAGCAGCTCGAAAAAAGCGAAACACGGCTTTATTTGAATTCGATTAGGCCGAGAAAATCGTTAAACTAGTCGGTTTTGGCGAACCGCCTATCCTTTTTGGATGAATCAAGACCGCAAATGTTGTTTGGTTCTGTAGCTTGAAAAACCTTCGAGCCCAATTTTTAGCAAATATTAATTTTACAGCTGACCGACGATGAGAAGTTCATCTGGAAAGGGATGACGGTGGAGCAGGCGAAGAAGATGGCCATCGAGAACATCAAGGTATCTTGCGTCACACTTCTAAACTCTCCTTTTCAGGACATCATCGCCGTTGGCTTCAGCCCCGACCAGACGTTCATCTTCAACAACTTTGACTACATGTGGTTAGTGCTTTTGCGAGTCGCTGATCCCTTTTTGCAGCCCGCCCTTCTACGAGAACATCGTCAAGGTGTGGAAGTGTGTGACGAACAACCAGGCACGCGCCATCTTCGGGTACTCAGGTTCATTTTTGCGTGGAATTAATGTTATTGTTTTTTCAGGCGAAGACCCGATGGGAAAATCCGCGTTCCCGGCCGTTGAATGCGCGCCGTGCTTTGCCTCGTCATTCCCGCACATCTTCGGGACGAAGAAGGACATCCCCTGCCTCATCCCGTGCGCTATCGATCAGGTTAGTAATTGCCTAAATCTGCTAATTCTTGGTTAGGACCCCTACTTCCGGATGACGCGCGACGTGGCGCCGAAGCTGAAGTGCCCGAAGCCGTCGCTCATCTTCAACACATTCCTGCCCGCACTGCAGGGCGCCCAAACAAAGATGTCGTCGTCGGACCCGAACTCGTGCATCTTCATCTCCGACACGCCCAATCAGATCAAGAATAAGGTGCTTTTTAGTTGGATTTTAGCATTTTTAAAGAACTTTTTTTTGTAAAAAGGAAGGCTCTAGAAGACTTTGAATGACTTGTAAAGCCCTAACGCCTCGCAATCTCCGCTTGTTTTCCCCTAACGGCTTCTCCGTGTCGTAAATCCATTTTTCCTTTCAGATCAACAAGTACGCCTTCTCGGGAGGCCAGGCCACCGTCGAGGAGCACAAGCGGTTGGGCGGCAATTGTGATGTCGACATTTCGTTCCAGGTATCGAGCTTTTCTAGTTCCGACTTGAATCTCCCCCGTTTCAGTTCCTCAGCTTCTTCATGGAGGACGACGCCGAGCTGGAGCGGATCCGGAAGGCCTACACGTCCGGCGAGATGCTGACCGGCGAGTTGAAGGCCGCCGCCATCAAGGAGGTTTAACGCCTTTATCCTGAATCTATTAAACTGTGCTTTTAGGTGCAACGAGTTGTCGCCGACATTGCCGAGCGGCGCAAGAACGTCACCGACGAGACTGTTGAGGAATTCCGAAAGGTATTTTTTGACTTGCTTCCGGTTAAATGGTAGAAAATTTCCTTTTTCAATGTCACGCTTAGGCTTTAGTTTGTTGAGGATCCTCACAATTAGTGAAATTCGATCCTTTTCAGATCCACAAGCTGAAGTACGACTTCTAGAAGCGCCAAAAATGACCATTTCCCAGGCCAAATCGTTGTTGTTATGTGTTGCCGTGTGTGTTGCTTTACTCTTCTATTTATTGGCCCGGTACCCCCTATTCTGAGCTATCAATCTCTTGTGATTTGTTTTAGAATATGAATTTGCTCCCTCTATCCAAAGCCCCTTAGGCCCTACTTGCCCGTTTCTTTCCCCATTTTTTTGCTGGACATCTCGTTTGCGTTTTATTTCCTGTTTTCAGCTGTTTTTACTACAAATGATAAAGCGACAAGCCGGTGTAGATTGATGTTTTTGATTAGCGAATTACAGCGAGGCGGAAAAGTAGAATGTTTCAGGGTTTCAAAGAAGCCATCCCGATCGCCGCAGGGCCCTGTCGAAATCCCTCATTTGACCGAAGCCTCCTAATAACCTAATCCAATGTTATTATGAATAACAAGATTAGATGGGCTGGATTAGTGGGGGCAGATCTGTGGCCATCTCTCCCTGCCTCAGGTCATGGGTATTTGGCCGGAAGCCCCGGCCATTTATATCACAGGAAATCTGGGCCACGCCTCGCCATTTCGGAATCCCGGAGGGGCCGTCGGGGCCAGGGAATGACCAATTTCCGATCTTTTCATTTTGAATTCGCTAAAAAGTCGTAGTTTCCTCTCGAAAAACCGAAAGCCTCCTTCTAGGAAACATTCGATGCCACTCAAGCCTTTTTGGCAGACAGTTTCGTTGAATTTTTAAGGATTTTTTGGGCATTTAGTATTTGTTTATGCAATTTTGAGTGTTACATTCAACATTTACATTTTCGCCAATTCCCCGTTCGTTTTCCCTTTTTGATAGAACGGAAACGTTTTTTGCTTTAGCCTGCTAGTGAGGTTCCTAAATATTTTTTTCGAATTCAATGCCACACAATACAAGCAATTTATTAAGGCGCGCCTTCGATTCACAGCCGTGCGAAAAACAATGAGAGCAAAGAAAAGAGCGGTTGGGTTTTGTGCTGGTGGTCATCTTCCGGCTGTTGTTGTTGTTCATCGAGCCGATGTGGATGTGCTTAGCGCTAAAATGGCGAAAATTTTCCGTTTCACGCCAAAAACTGACCCCTGGCGGATCGGGCTCCTCCATTGGTACCTGAAAATTGGGGGTTATTTGGAAATTCGTAAATTGCTAGTTTGTTTTTCTGGATTGCCAATAATTTCGATGGCGTGGTGGGGAGGCTTTTCGACAAGTCGTTTGCACTTCCGGTACAGGTTTTTGAATAGAGTGGATTGGCGTGAATCTCGGAAATTAGTTTTTTTCTAAAAAAACAATATTTTGTCGGGATTTTAGGGGATTCAAAGGAATTTAGAAGCTTAGTAAAGATGAATTAGGCAAGAAAGGTGTCTATTTTGGGTGCTTTTGCATGATTGGGAGGGGTTTATCAGGGAAACTACTTTCTAGCGCATTTTATTAAAAAAATGCAATCAAGCACGGATTTTTCGAGCAAAAATGGCTGAATTTCGACCAAAATTTCGAATTTTTTTGGAAGTTTTTTAGATGGTCACACTGTTGAAATATTTAAATTGGACGAAATAGCGCAATTTTTTTTGAAGAAAAACGTTCAGATCGCCTCAAAAAACCGCGCCCAGTTACCATACCACTTCGTCGCGCTTGAAGCGTCGACTGATGCCGCGCGGCACGAGCACTTGTAGATAGTCGTCGATCAGGCAGATGGACTGCAATTTCGGTTTTTAACGGAATATGCAAGGCATGTTTTCGACAAAATGAGTTTCGACATTCTAATTTTCGCTAAAATGAAAATAATCCGTAAACCGTCGAAAAATTTGACCCTATCGTCGAAATTTTCGAATTTACAAAATTTATAAAATACTTTTTGAGAAATTTTTAGCAGCCCACAAGCCCACTAATCAGCATAAAACTATGTTATATATTAGTTAAGAGAATAAGAATAAAAATTATTCCCCCCGTTTTCGCTCCACTACCGAAATATCTACCTTGATTTGAATATCGCTGACGATGGTGCGCTGGGTGTTGGTGATCCAGGCGACGCTCAGCGTCAGCACGAAGGCGATGATCTGAACTTGGAGTTTGGGCCAAAATTAGCACGGTACGGAGACGACGGGCGAGGCGTAGATGAGCAGGTAGATGCCCAGGCAGCTGTCCATCGTTGGCGCCAAACGGGGAAATAATCGCTTTTTGAGGGGCATTTCCTTTGAGAGAATTATGCGAATTTTTTCTATTGAAATTTCGGGTATTGGTATGCAAATTAGGTATACTGTAGAAATTTTCGCAAATGGGGGGCAAATTAAGCAGACTGTACATAGTTAATTTTTTAATGTCGTGTAATTTTAGATTTTAATAAAAACATTATTTAATCAGGTTTATCAGGATTTTCTTGGTTTTCTAACAAGGCTTGCTGTGTGCACTTTTAATTCTGAAACAACACAAATTACGGATGGCTTGAAAATGACAACTTTTCGGGATCAGATTGAGGCGATCGTAGCAAATTTTTTTAGAATCGGATTGAAACTAATTTTACATTTTTGAAAACGGTGTTTGGGATGCTTACTAAATTGTGGGCCATGAATTCGCCAGGCGAGTCCGATGAAACCTGTTTTTGTAACCGAAATTTGCCCGCAAGTTCCGTTGTTTATGTTTATGGCTGTTTATGCCTTGTAAGAAACCATTTAGCTTTTCCTATCCCGGCGGCCGATTTTTGCAAATGAAAAGTCAAATAAAAATGGAAATTTTTCTGTAAATGTTGTCTCCTTCCTCCTTCATCTCGCGTACGGATTATTGCGCTCTAACTACCATCAGTGTCCCAGTCGATGTAACATATTTTATTCCCAGTTTTAAGTTCTTGTGGAAACTAAATTAATTCGTTTGCATGTTTTTGAATGCCGTTGTATTTCAAAATGTAAATCGGTGGCTGCTGGGCGATGTGTCATTTTCAACTTTAGATGTTTCAGGAGAACAGGAACAAACGAACGCTTTTTTGCTGTAATTTTGTCTGCCGCACGGAAAGAAATTGTTTTGAGTCCAACTGCTATCAGTGCCTCAGTCGCTGAAACATGTTTCATTTACTTCTCGTTGCAACTAATTAATCAATCCATCTAATCAATCAAATTCGTTAGCATTTCTATGAACGGTTTGTTATTTAAAAAGGAGTTCAAAAAATAGTTCGCGAACTTAGAATGTTACAAAAGAAACCGTAAAAAAGGAACACATTTTTACTTTTAATTATGTCTAGCACGGATGACGAGCATGGATTGTTTTGATTCCAACTGCCATCACTCTCCCAGGCGACGAAATGCGGAAGCCAATCCTTTGCATTTTAAAGGGAAACGCAAGGCATATCCAGTTTTTTAGCTATCAATTCCTTACGGATTTTCTAGGTCCGCAATACGCAACGCAGACCTTGCGCAAACTATCCGTAATGGATTACACAATCATCAGGCCGAACCAGTCTCTCGTGCTGATTTTCCTACATGCCCTGCGATAATTATTTTATTCTCAGGCACTACTAGAGGCCCATATGCCGAAACAAGTTTTATTTACCACCGTTTCTGGTCTTGAAATTTTAAAGGGACGAGCAAGACTGATTTTATCTCACACTCACTCCTCTCTCTCGCTCTCTCTCTGTCTCTCTCTCTCGCCCTCTCTCTATCTACCTCTCTCTCACTCTCTCTCTCTCTCTCTCTCTCTCTCTCTCTCTCGTCCTCTCTCTGTCTCTGTCTCTCTCGCTTTCTTTCTCACTCCCACTCCCTCTCTAGCTCGCTCTCACCCTCTCACGCTCGATTTGGTTTTTCTAAACTAACGGCACTTAAGCGTCCATGTTCCACATTTTCCGCAATTACACCTGTGTAGTCAAGTGTCCCCCGGAATGACCGGATGCGAAAGAGACCGATTTCTCGCGGGCCTCCAAAACTAATTTTGGAAAGCCAATTTCGCCCGTTGCCCGGTAGAAGGTCTCACCACTCGGACCCTCGGGGCCAAATAAATGTCGCGCTAATTTTAGCAGAGAGAGAGCAGCAAATTTCTGCATTTACGTGTTTATAACAAAGGTTAAATTATAATTTCTGCGTTTTTAAGGCTAAAATATTAAATTCGTATGCTAAAAGGTACCAAAAAATTAGATAACCGTTTGCTTTCGTGTTTCCGAACGTTAATTGGCCGACTTGTGGTGGTTTAGATGTTGTAGACGTTTCAAAACATTTTTTAATTTTTGACATTTTTTGATTTAATTGTTGTTTACTGATTAATTAGAACGTATATGCTATAAATATTTATACTTTAGAAATATATCTAATGGAATATAGGAATTGTGGTACTTTTTTGGAAAATCACCATAATTTCAAATCCGTGTTACCACGGAAATGAAGCATGTTTCAACAATATTCATCATCGGTGGTTCTTTTTGGTTTTTAATGAAGACGGACCAGGGTTGAAAAATTTAACTTTATAATTATACAACTCGCATCCACTTTTTCCTTTTGACCTGTGCCAGTTGGTGTCAACTGGTGTCGAACGGACTTTGAGCCAGAGCTGTCGTAGGGTTACACATTTCGTAAAAAGACGCGGAACACTTCTCATGTGAGAGTGAGAGGGAGAGAGAGTGAGACCGAGAGAGAGAGAGAGAGAGAGCGAGAGAGAGTGAGAGATAGTGTTACTACACCCGCAAGTCACGGATTATCACCAACTCCCCAACGGTGGTCAAAAGGTTTGCGACTAATTATTTTTTGGCCTACCGTATCTTTTGCATTTTTTCCAGTTTTGAGGGTCTGTAGAAAAACCTAGAAAAGAAAGCTTTTGAAAGAAAATGGCTAAGCCCTACGACAAGAGTATCATATTCTGCTAGGTCTTTTTGCTATAAATTCTTGAAACTCTCTTTTTCATACCAATTTTTTCATACATAACTCCTTGAACTTTGAATATAAACACTCCACGGAATTTCCAACAAAATGTTTCACTGAGGAAGATACAAAAATTAAGAAGTAGTTTAAAAGTTTCATCAAAAAATTGTTATAAAAATGCGTTTCGCTAAGGTATGCTAATGGAAGATTTTTAGGGTCCCGAATAGGCCTTTGAGCGCAATCGTCACATTGTAGATATTTCCTTGTGGGTGCAGCAGTAGTTGTGTGATTTCTACAATTCTAGAAAAGTAGTAGAAATCCAGCATTTTGAGAAATTTGTTTCGCCAAAAAGCAGCTCTCCGAAATTTTGGAAAGCCATAATCTGCGGTGAGATTTTTGCGATAAAGCGATCGATATTTCGTGGAGCGTAGGGTATTGTATATCTGCCTGTCTGCCCGTCCATTTTTCCCCACAATTAGAAAATGGCAGCTAAGCAGTTGGTGAAAAAAATGTGTTTTGTCAAGTTATTCGTTTCCGAGATTTTCACATCCCATAATACGCGTAGAGTTTGTCTGTCTGTCTGGCTGTCTGTCTGTCTATCTATGTGTCTATCTGTTTCTCTCTAGTGCCGGTGACCGGTGATGACCCTTTCGAAAGCCAATTTCTTATCTAAAGCCCACAGACACGACAGCTGATATGCCCATTTTATGCCTATTAAGACCCCCACGACTGCCCTTTCCCCCTAGTATCAAAACAACACTCTTTTTCTCTAGCTCTCTCCCTCTCTCTCTCTCTCTCTCTCTCTCTCTCTCTCTCTGTCTCTCTTTACCACCAAATAACTAGCGACTCAGCGTATTCTGGCGGACGGAAACTACAGTAATACTACTGTAGCTTCCGTCCGCCAGAATACGTCCTTTGCGCTGTTTTCTCTTATAATTGTTGTATCTAATTTGTATAATTTTCCTCAATGATCTTTGCTAGCTACCCTGATCGAATAGGCTGAAAGGTCACGCTTGTATATGCTTGGTTTTGGTACCTCTGTACCACGCTTCCACTAAGCGCCACAACATTTTTGGAGCCGTTAGAAAGGGGGTTTATTTAAACTATCTAAAAATTTGTAAACCATCGGGCTATCGTAATGAAATGAGTTTTTCTAATATGTAAAAATCGCGATTTTTGGCATAAAAATAATACAGTCTGAACACCTCCGAAACAATTGAGCCTCATAACTAAACCTCGGGACGGTTTGCCTTTGAAACACTTTTTTCTGAAATAACAGAAATTTAATCATGTAAAAATAGGCGTTTTAGAAAATGGCCTGCCAATTCGAAAAACGCGGCAGATCGATTTCAGATATATAGCGAAATCTTTATTTTTAGACAATTAGCTTTTTATCGAACATTATTTTGCGTCGAAGCACATTTTTTTGCTCATCAACAACTTGCTCAATGGTTTTCCTGACCCGAGACATCCTCAAAAACCTCTGCTAGCCACCCTAGACTATTTTAGAACCGGAATTTTTTTCGTGAATTTAAGCGGTAAGTCGTGGTGTCAATTAAGCCAAGCGACATTGTTTGTCGGTTCTAAGGATTTGAAACATAGATTTTTTTGAGGGTTGCCGTGGCTGAAATGATCGATTTTCGAGCAAAAATCCAAATTTTTGAATAATTTAGATAGTTTTGCCACGCCTAGATTTAATTTAAAAACTTTTAAGTAAAATTGAACTATAATTAAGGTCAAAACAATGAAAAAAAAACAACGGAAAAAATTGGGTCACCCCGATATTGCAAAAAGAACAGATTTCTTTCAAGAAGAGAACCAACTTCATTTAATTTTGTGCTCTACTATTAGCCGCTGAAAAGCGCCGGATCTTTCCGGTGACCTTCACGAGTCGCTAGCTGAGCGGCTACTTCCGAGTTCCGCCTACTGGTTAACCCTAATTTGCGTGGGGGAAAGCGAAATCCGGCCCATCTCCACGTAATTTCAGCGGCTCCAATTTTTCGCCAGTTTTTGTAGCCGTTACGCATTTTTTAAAGATTAATTTTCCGGAATAACAAACGGAATACACAAAAAAGACGCTGCGTGGTAGAAAATGCATCTTTCAACTCAGGTCAACGTGTTTATGATTTTGGTCATTTATCACCTGATGCACACCACCATAATTAAAAGATTGATTAAAAAGGCTTGTTTTCCACTGTTGATAAGATTACTACTAAATTCGCAAGTAATTTAGCTCTTTAATTTTCTGAAACAACATTTTATTGCGCCCACAACTACTCATTCACCCTAATTGCGCTGGCGAGAGAATGGAA